TCACATCTCCCCGTGCCTCAATTTACGCAACTATGACTTGGGCAGTATGGATCACGTGTGGGCAGCTTTCTGTTTGGACGTAAAAACTAAGGTTCACACTGCATTAGAAGGTGAAAAGGTGGGACCAAGGTCCTGCCCCCCCCACCCCCCACCCCCGGCTGTCCATTACCAGACACGCAGGTATCACAAGGACAGATCAGGGCCTGGCCAGGCTGGGGGCTTCTGCCTTGACTCCAAGGTAAAGAACAAGGCTTGGGAGTATGGAAGTGGCTGGGGAGCCCCAGGCCCCCCAAGGGCCGCTCTGTTTACCTGTGGCCGCCTGCCTGCCTCTGATGCAACAGGCAGGCTCTGGTTACGTGAGGGTGGCAGCTGGGGCAGCTCTGGGAGCAGCAGGTGCTGCAGGAAGGGCCAGCCTGAGCTGAGTCGCTGGGCTATCCCCTCTTTGGCCTATCCTATCCCCTTCCACCACTGGGGCCCCACCCACTCCTGTCACTCCCTAGTCGCCCCCTCCCACCATTCATGCTCCCAAGTCCCATTCCCATTCTGGTCAAATTCCAGCTTCTAACATACTGTTTCCTGTTAACAACCACTCCTTTTGGCCTCTGCGCTGTTCCTGTTCTATATCCTCCCCATCACACTGACACCCGTATGGATCTCCATCTCCCATGAGGTAGTCAAGAGTGGAGAAAGAGATTAGAAGTGGAGGGGATGCCTAGGGTGGGGAAAGGGAGACGGGTGTGGAAGAACTAGAGGGGTGCACTGCAAAGTGGGGGGGGGGCAGGAGGGAGAAGGAAGAGGGAGGTTGGGAGGGTAGGGAATTCAAGAAGCTGCTATCCCCAAGCCCCCCTCATTCCGACTACCTCCCAGAGTCTGCAGGGGAAGACTTAGAAGGACCCTCACTGGCAAAGACAATGTGAGCCAACTGGCAGGGCCTTGGGATTAAGAGAACTCTGGGCCCCTCTCCCAGCTCTGACTCCTACGTCAGACTAGTCACTTCACTCCTCTGAGTCTGTCTGCTCAAGTAATAAATGGAGACAATAGCAGCCCCTTCTCTTGGGGCAGGGGAAGCTTTTCAAGGCCCACTTCCAATGTCCCCTCTAACAGTTTCTCCATCACGCTTCCAATATCCTCATTTTGGGTCAGCCCAGTGCTGACCCAGGGTGTTGGGGATTCAGCTCTATCTTTCTCATCGTTTGGTGGTAACAAATGGCTCTCTCCATGAGTTTCTTGAAGAACTGGGGAACCCTGGAGAGATATGAGTGGTGGAAGGACATCCAGACTTTCTGGATGCAGCACAGGGAAAGGGCTTCCCAGGGGTAGGAGATCTAGGAGTGCAGAGCAAGCCTTAAAAACCCAGCTTGAATCAGGGCCTGGGGACAAAAAGTCACAACTTTTTGTACATCCTGACTACTGGAGGCACAGCTGGAGCCCATGTGGGCTTCCTTTTACTCTACCCACAGGCTCTCAGGAGGCTCCCCTTCCAGGTCTGAAGGGGAACTCCATCCTTAAGGATCCTGTTCAGATGTGCCATGGCATGGGAGCCCACTTCTCTGCCAGCAGTTCTGCTAGGATAGGAGCAAGTCCTACCTACTGGGGGTCTGGGAATGCCCAGAAACTCCCTAATGCCTTCCCTCCTGCTGTGTCATCTGGTCGTGTTTAGCTTGTTGGCTCTGAAAAGTAAGAACGAATACATCTAGGGTGATAAGGGTAGGGGGTAATCTGCCCCACCCTGCATGCCCCCATGGGTTCAACTGCAGACAGACTGCCCGGTACCTAGCCAAGACTTTGCCTCTTGCGACCTCTAGAGGCCACTTGAGGAGCCCTCCCAGAGCAAATGGCAAGTGCCTATGCAAAAAAGATGCAAATTAGCAGCAGTGAGAGCCCTGGGACTCAGGCGGGCACTAGGGGATCTTAGCTAGGGCTCGGTCAGAACCTTGTCTAGACCTGAGGGAACTATTAGCGCTGGCTAACAGAGGTCATGACCAGAGGCTGTGGGTGATGGAAATGGGATATATGCTATTACCCTACTAAGCTGCCCATCTGCCTCTGACTTGATTCCTTAGGCTAGGGCTTGTCTGTCTGTCTAGCTGGGGGTTGTCTGCGCAGGACCTGACACACAGAAAGCTATCCATGGCTAAATGGCTGCGTGGTGGATAAATGGAAGGACAAGGAAAGGTGCCTTAAGAGTTGGTAGAGAGGGAAGTGGCATGTGTGGGGGTGGGGTCACACACCAATCAGGGCCTAAAATGGGGTCATTCTAAGGTTCCTCCCACCCCTCAAACTGAGTTAGGGCAATGGGGAAGGCACAGGGCACCCCGGCCAATATACTCTAAGAGGCATGACAGGGCTGACCTCCACTTTCTCACAGTGGGAGGTGGTCCTTCCTCGATGCCCTCTGTCCCTAAAAGCCTTGCAGGGCTCTCAGGCCCTTCCACAGCCTCGACAAACTCTCAGGACCCAGTCTGTCTCCCTTAGGGTGTCACTGGCTTTTGCCATCCCTCTGCCCCAGATGCCTCCTGGTGCTGAGCTAGAGGATGCTCCCAGAGCAGGGGCCTGGGCCACCTTGGTTACATGCCAATCAACTCTATTTTGATCCTGATACATTCACTAGACACTGCATTGCCACACAGCTGGCCTCAGGCATATACAAACCATGGACCATAACTGCTTAGCCTTGAAATTAGTGAGATCAGAATGGACTCTTCTACAGTCAGCAGAAATGAATGCAAAGCAATTTTGATAAAAAGTAATTTAGGGACTCAAGAAACTAAAGAATCATGATTTCTAGTGTCACGTGTGGCTGGATCCAGGTTCTTAGGTGGTCCTCTATTTGCCAGATGAGCCCTGGTAGGAAGGTGGTAACTTTCCCAGGCAAAACTTCTTATTGGGCTACATGCCTATCTGGATCCAATCACTGTGACTTGGGAGATCATGGTCTGAATAGACAGGTCAGCGTCTCACATCCATTCCAGAAGCTAGAGTTCGTGTCTTCATGAAGCCTGCAGATGGGGTGGGTGTTTCTACATGAGGCATAGCAGGCCAAGCAGGTAGTTGGATATGTGAATGTCCACCTGGGGAGAAGATCCAGCCCAGCTTTCCTTGTGCAGATGGAGCAAGGGAGGGCTGGTGCCGTGTCCCCAGCAAGTCACAGGCAGGGCTGGAACCAAACCAGGTTAGTCTTCTAGCTGTGAGATCTCTTTTCCTATCTGTATATGGGGGTGACACCAGCCTTATAGGGCTGATGAAAGATGACTCCTAAGAAGCCCCCAGCACAGCACTGGGTACACATTGTTTCGTTGGAAGTCGTGGTGGTAGTTACTGGGTGCAAAGGGCTATGGCTATGGCCATGTCTGCGCCCACAGCTTATGGGAAGTGGGAAAGACAAGGGAGCAAAGCCTGGTCACGGGATATTCACAGCTGGTCTGAAGTTCCAGACAGGAGCAAGAGGAAGATCCTGGCCACACTTGCTTGGTCTTCAGTCCCAGCCAGGTCCTACAAGACTGTCTAGGGGCCCAGCTTTGGTCAGGTGAGAGGTGGGGCAAAGATCCTGATTCTTTGAGCCTCCATTTCCCCTTTTGTAAAATAGGCTGTTATGGGTCCTATTTAGGAACTCAAGAGACAAGTGAGGGCAGAAGACCTGACTCCATGAAGGTCACCAATAACCCCAGCTGGAGGAGAGGGGAGGAGGAATGGAGAGCTGAGGGCATCAGTTCTGGAAAGGAGCAGATGGAGGTCAGGAGGAAGAACAGCAGATGACAGAGTTGTGGGCAGGGCAGCATCCTTGAGGCTCAAGAGGTGAGGGCTACCAAGGTGCAAGGGGTGGGACAGGGAGATGATGAAGTGTGGTTTAGGGTGCGCAGGCACTACTGTGAAGCACTGGGCGGGCTGGCAGACCTCTGTTCCAGACCCCCTGCCTGTGGGGTTGCTTATTGTCCCCAGGCCCACAGCTAAGCTTGACACAAGGCAGGTACCCCTGACTGTTATGTGAATTCCACTGCCTCTTGGAGCTGCTTCTCTAGGGCCTGGGGACCTGTCTCCATCATCCTTCTGACCCCTGAGAGGAACAGAGCACAAGATAGGCTCCAAGAGCCACACAGCAGCTGGGGCTCACAGTCCCTCAGCACTGCTACCAGATGGCATCCATCCGCATGCGCAGAATGATGTCTCACCAGCCATTCTTGGTGCCATGCTTTCCCTACAAGGCCAACCATATCCCTGTGTGATTGGGCACCCACTCCCCCAACTGGGCCTAGCCACATGACTGGTCCTGACTAATGGTCTTAGAAATGGGGTTCGATGAACATGAAGGCCCAAACGATTGGTAGGCCTGCTAGACAGCCACATGGAGGAGATCTGGACCCCTACAGCCAGCACCACTGGTCAAGGGCCTAATGATTGAGGTCACTACCCACACCTTTGCCTCCTAGGAGTGCTGGGTAAGGAGCTACCAGCTCAAACCGCAGAACTGAATAAACGACTGGTGCCGTGGTCACTAGGTTTGAGAATCATTTGTTATACAGCTATAGCCAACCATTACCACACGCTCTGCTGCCTGATGAGCCACTGTGTTAGAAGGCAGAAAGGGGGAGGGATTGGCTCAGGGTCACATAGGAAGTCACGGTGGTGAAGTCGGTGGTGGAGCGAGGATCCAGGCCCGGGTGGGTGACTGCCATTCCAGGCTATGAGAGCACGTGTGTGGATCAACCAAGCAGCTAATACGTGGTAGGGTGGGCTTCCCTCTGTCCTGGGGCATGGTCCTCAGGATTGGGCCTGTGGCATGGATAAGGAGCAGGAAAATGGCAGAGAATGTAAGGGAGTGGGCTGACAGTGGGCCTGAGCAGCAGAGGTACAAAGCCCCCACACCCGCATCCTGTAAACCCCCACTAATGAAACCACTTTATGGGCTTTTAAGAAGCTACTGGTTAGACAAGCAGGTCCTTGCTTAGACATGGAGAAAGCAGGTTAGCCCAGAGCTTAGAGCACAGGCCCCTGAACACTGACCTGGTCAGAGGGGCTGGAGCACCTCCAAGTCTTCTGGGATCAGTCTGAGGAGGGAGAGGGTGGGTCCTCAGGGCTGGAACAAAACATGTGCAGCATTCATAAGGTCAATGTCAGAGGTCATGAGCCAAAATTCAAGGCCAGGAGTCCATTAGGCCAGTTCAGCTTAGCTGCACTGTGTGTCGGGGTCATGCTTCAGTACTCCAAAAACCATGGCCTGAACTCTGGAGATGGCACCACTGGTCATGGCTGGGACATGTGGCCTTCATACCCACAGGGCTCATAGAGAGAGGGGCAAGAAGCAGCCCAACTGACTACCAGTGTCTTTGAGAAACAGTGGTTTTCGCAACAGCAAGCACAAGCAGGTGTTCAATAGCACTTGGGAAATGCTACTTGGGAAACTTGAAAGTAAAAGATAAGCAGCCCTCCCTGGTGGTGCAAGGGATTAAAGCACAGCAGTATGAAGCTGTCCGCAGCCACGGCAGTACGAGTTCGATCCCAGCCAGGGAGGTGACTCACATGGCGCAGCAGACCTCTCCTGACTCATTTACTGCTCCCTTCAGCAGTATATTTTGGTCAATCTGTCTGTTCTGCTCCCCACTCTGCCTCTGCTAAATCTTCTCACCCTCTGCAACTCCAGTCTGTACCCTATAATTAAATATTTTTAGAACAGAAAGCAAAAGCTATGGCTCTTTGAGGTCCACTCTTTGTGGGGTGCCATACAAGAAATCCAGTGAACACCAGTCCAGAGAGCTGCCATCACCTATGGGGGGGAAGACGACTACACACCTGTTTTTACACATCCCCAAGGCTTTTTGGGCTTTGGCAACTCTCATCTTGGTGATCAGAAACAGGTCTTGTTCTTCCTGAATGCCTAGCGGGAAGACAGGCAGTTGGCCCCCCAAACTGTTGGATCAGATAAATCTCAAGGTAGAGTTACAATATGTGTTGTCTGTTCAAACACACGTTTATTTTTATAAAGAAAACAACAAAATCAGCTACTTCTCCAAAATCTCTCTTCTGACATGCAAGAACCGAAGTCCTTTTCCATTTTATACCATCTTGTCTTCTGTGTAAAGCCTCTGTCAACGCTGAACATGACGCCCATGAGGCCCCAGCCTCCCTCTCTGACCCATCTCTCCCTTGCTCACCTGCTCTAGTCACCCACCTCCCAGATGTTCCCCTTTACACCCAATTCGGCCAGCCCCACCATGCATCCCTGGTCATTTGTCTAGTGTTTCATGCATACCTCTGCCTCCTCCTCAGAAGTCCCTATATCCTTTCCTACTTGTCTGAAATGCTTCTATCTGTTCCATGTTTACCTACTTGCTGTGAGATCATGAGTACACCTGTCCCAGTCACTGCCGTGTCCCTAGGGCCAGCAAACAGCAGAACTCAAGATCCAGGGCTGAGTAACTAACTCTCTCCTGCTACAGATTCCAAAAGATAAGAGAAAGTCATCAGACTCAAACAGGAAAGGGAGTTTTGTACGAGCAAGAAGTAGCAGTTCCTGGCCGAATGGTGAAGGTCCACACAGCAAGGTGTCCGAAAGCAGCAGGGGCGGCAGTCCAAGAGCTACCTGTGGCCCTGGGCAGTGGTGTTCATGTGGTCTCGGATGCTGATGGCCTGTTTGAGGAGTCCTTCCACACTTCGGAAGTAGATGCTGCTGTCAACAAGATTCTTCACCGCACTGAAATCAAGGAGGGACCAGTCAGCATGCATCACCCCCGACACAGCCTGTAAGCTCCCTACCCAACTAGTGCTCAGCAGGCACTCTGGGGACCCGATGGTCCTTGCTGAGAGCTCACCATGGGCAGAAAATTTAGGCTTCCCTGATACACCTAGATATACCGATACCACAGAGCACATAATGGCAAAACTTCTCTTCCTTACTGCTAAACTGTCTAATGTTTACAAGCATATAAAGATGTCCCCAAAGATACCTTGCTCTCCTCTCCAATAACATTTCTGCCTCTGAAGGAAGCTTATCAACTCAACAGAAAAACTCTAGAAGTGAGTTCAAATGGAAGAAGGACACCCATTCCCAGTGAGGGGACACTACCACCTGGCCAATCAGCCTTGGTGCTGGCTCTGTGATGTTGGACATCCAGTGAAAACATGTTTTCCAGAAGAAAACCTGAAATATCACCAGTGCCTGGAGGTCTTGCAAATGCTGGGAAACCGCCTGTGCAAGGACGATGCCCTGAAAATAAGAGTGTCATCCTAAAGTCCTCCTGTTAAAGACAACGAAGTCACTCCCATTCATCATCAGCTAGGGACCTGCCTGGAAACAGCCAAAGATCAGAGGGATGGAGGGGGCAGCACTGGCTGCACAGTTAACCTGTGCAATAAATTGCACCATGTTTTCTAAAGCTTGGTTGCCCCTCTTGAGGAAAGGTTCACTAGCATAAGCTCACTATTGAGTTCTTTACCCTAGTTTACATCTTTCAGTTTTACAGCAACTGTTTAACACTCCATGAACATACTTTCAACAACTAACGGGTGCCTTTGTGTCCATAAAAGAAAACATGGTTATTTAGCATTAGAGAAAACCACAATTCACTTAAGAGATGTGCACAGAATTCAGACCACACTGGCAACCTGCCTAGCTCAGCAGATCTGGTGGAATTTTCTAGAACATGATGGATAATTCTTTATCTACTGAGATAATGGGTAAGCTCTTAAAATGTGGCTGGAGAGACTAAGGGTCTAAATTTTTCATTTCATTAACTTTTAATGCATTAAAATGTAAATGTGAACAGTCAACTGTGGTTCCAGCTTCTGCATTGGATGGTGGAGGTAGAGAAAGCAAGAGAAAACTTGGACTTTGACATGTTCTTTCCTGGAACCTGGTCTTGCTAATGAGCTCATGGCTGTCTGAGAGCTGTTCAGCAACTGTGAGAAATTCCTACAACAGTGCCCTCTCACCCAACTTCCCAAAACCTACATCCGTGCACCCGCGCAAATACATCCACAGTTTTCCTAGACATACACACATATGGTAAAGTTTAATTTACAAAGGAGGCAGAGTAAGAGACAACAATAATTAATAACAAAATAGAACAATACAATTATAACAATATTCTATAATGAAAGATACATGAATATGGTTCCTTTCTCTTATTGTATAAAATATTTTTGGGCCATAGTTGGCCATAGTAACTGGATAAGGAGAGACTATTACATTTCTTTTCTGCTCTTCCATGAGCTAATGTCTGTGACTGTGACTGCCATCATCAGTGTTGTCACTGTTACCTGCTATCTTGGTGGAGATAGCAACACTGCCAATGGAGGAAACCTCGGTTATGTCCCCAGCAGCAGGATGACCTGTCTAGGAACTTCCCGCACAACAGCAAGAGGTGTACAAATCTGCAATGTCACAGACAAGAACAGCAGGAGAGGGTCCAGTCTCTACCAAAAACTCAATTTGAGTCAGTGGCAGATAGCATTCCTAAATAAAGTTGTCAAGCTCCCAACGTATACTGAATAGATCAGGGAATTAAATACAGCTATAGGAACCAATAGAAGAACAGGTCAGACTAAAAAGCAGCAAAAATGGAAGGAAACACCAACTAACACTTTTCACTCAGAGGGACACCTGAATCTGAAGATTTAGAGAGAAAGTTAAAATTTTAAAAAAGTCATTCCATGTTCACAGCATGGCTAACAATAGCGAAGACACAGAAGCAACCTGTGTCCATCAATAGATAAGTAGAATCACAAAATACAACACATCCACATAGCAGAATATAATTCAGTCTTTAAAAAAGAAATTCTGGGCCCTTTCTGGTGGGTTAGGATGCAGCACTGCAAGCTTGCTGCAGCTGCTTCCGTGCGGGTTCTGTCCCGGCCCCGGAGGTGATCCCACATGGCGCGGCAGACCACTCCTGACCTGCCCACTGCTCCCCTCAGCAGTGTAATTCATTGATCTGCCTGTTCTGCTCCCCATTCTGTCTCTGGTGAAGCCTCTCACCACCCCTACACCTCTAGCCTGTACCCCAGTTCTGTATGCATAAATAAATAAATCTTAAATTAAGAAAAGATTTTAAAAAAAGAAATTCTGGGCCCTCCCTGGTGGTGCAGTAGGTTAGAGCACAGCATTGTGAAGCTGGCCGAGGCCGCTTCAATGAGTTCAATACCCAGACCTGGAGGTGACCCACATGGCGCAGCAGACCTCTCCTTTTTTGCCCGCTGCTCCCCTCAGCAGTGTACTTCGTCCATCTGCCTGTTCTGTGCCCCTCTCTCTCTGGTGAATTCTCTCACTGCCACTGTATCTCTGGCCTGTATCCCAGTTCTGTATGCATAAATAAATAATCTTAAAAAAAAAAAAAAAAAAGAAATTCTGAGGCACACACTATGACATAATAAGCCAGAACCAAAAGGACTGACCCCACTTATGAGGTTTCTAGGATAGAGAGTTTAATGAGGACAAAGTTTCAGTATGGGAAGATGTGAACTTTCTGGAGATGGAGGGAGGTGACAGTAGCACAACCATGTTAGTATGCTTAATGCCACACAGCTGTACACTTAGAAATGGTTGAAAGGGTAAATGTTTCATTATGTGTATTTTACTACCACCACACACACACACACACAAACCTGGAAGGAAATAAAAGTACAAAGTAACATTCAAGTTTTCACCATCCTTCCAGTTACCATACACCCTACCAGCCCAGGCCCCTGGTACAGAGCAAGCACGTGCTATATATTCAGGGCAATCCCTCCTGCGTCCTTATCACTGTATCCTATCACAGATGGAAGGGCTCAGCACCAAGAACTTGGGTGTCAAGCAAATGACAGAGGCACAGGCTTACCAGGCAAGTTTAACTACAAATGCTGCAGGTGGGTTCAGCAGATGGGGTTGACTTGGTAGCCGGCTGAGATGAATACCTAGAGTACCGAAGAGACTGGGGCACCACAGGGCAAGCCCTGGACAGAGTGGGTAACCCAGTAGAGGGAGGCTTAAGTGCTTACCTGCAGGCATACTCCACGGTGTAGATAGCTCCTTGGCTTTGCTCCTCCCACCGCTGCATGTCAGCCTGTGTGGAGAGGGGACTGTTAGAAGGGGGACAACCACTTGGGGGCGGTCCCTCCAGCTCTCTGAGAGAAAACATGCAATACCAGTCACCATGGCCACAGCGATCAGCCTACTGCAACTCTTTTTCCCAGTCTAGCCCCTCTTGAACATCTGGCTGTCATGCCTCAGGGCCTTCGCACAGGCTGTTCCCTCTGCCTGGCCTAGGCTTCCCTTGGGTTCTCACATGCTATATCGTTCCAACACATAGGACACATTTAATGAAGATCCTGTGGGCTGGGGAAAGGCTTCTGTGTTGTTGAACCTGCCCAGCAGTGCGTGCAGCCCTGTACCAGGCAGCCACATTCTTATCTAAAGTAATTCTCAGGAGTTTGTCCCGGGTTTTGAATTTGAAGTATAAGTGTGAAGATTCTAAAATCAGTTTGATGATCATGTATGATACTGCAAACAGCATCAAAAAAATGGAAAAAGAAAAAAACACAATTAATGCAGATCCCACTGCCCCATGTTGAAAACCTGTCCCAGATCTGTCCACTCAAGGCCCAAACTGGTTTGGCAACCACTGCCTTCTTACTGGTATCCCGGCCTTGACTCCTGCCCCCACTGCCCTTGCTCTATACAGCAGGGTCCCTGTTCAGGAGTTATTGATCCTGGAGTGGGCAGAGCTCACCTTATGCTGGGCCAACTCAGGCAGAGAGCGGCGCACATGCTCCTGCAGCCGATACAGGGCCACAGACGGCTCATTGGCGAGGACATAGACGCTCTCCGTGAACTTGTCTGTGACTTGGAAGAAAGGGGGAGCAGAGGGAAGCATCAGACTCATGACTGCTCAATCCAGTTCAGTCAGAACCAAGAGGAATATCCATTGCTTCCCAGCAGCGGGGTGACTTGAGGCCCCAGTGACAGGTCAGTAGTGCAACACATAGAGCACAGCACTATGAAGTTATCTGCACTGCAGCCTGAGTTCGATCCCTGGCCCACATGTTCGTGGCTGACCTCTCCTATCTCACCTGCTGCTCCCCTCAGCAGTGTACTTTGTCAATCTACCTGTTCTGCTTCCCACTCTGTCTCTGGTGACTCCTCTCACTGCTCCTGCACCTCTGACCTGTACCCCAGTTCTGTATGCATAAATAATTAAAATTAAAAAAAAAAGTGTAAAAGCCTGTGTTCTGCTCTATGTGACTGGACAACTTGGAAATAGGTTTGTCCTCCCTGAACGCCCTCTTGGACTTTACTTGATGTTTCTGGTCCCTGCCCCAAGCTCTGCACTGTATCTCCAGGTAAGTTAATCACACAGAAATCCTCATCCTCATCCTCAGGGAAACCTGAGGTATTCACAGTTAGCCAGTCATCCCCACCCTTCCTACCTGAACTGCAGGCAAATCTTGCCAGTTCTGTCTCAAAACAAAGCCCTATGTCACCCATTCTCACCACCAACTGGTCCAGGTATAGCCTTCTCTCATATGGGCACCAGAATTAGCTCCTCCCCATCTCCTTGACTTATACTGCCAACACTCTGATACCCACACACAGGGAGAATGAGCTCCTCATGAACACATCAGACATGTCCTTCCCTTGCTTGAAACACTCCAAAGGCTCTTGCCAGGGAATATCATCTTCTTTATCATTGCCCATAGACCTCATTGTATATTCTGCCTGTTGTTAACTGCTCTCTTCTCTCTACCCCCCAAATCTTGCCCTCTTTGTTAGGCACAATAGCTTCATGGCTGTACCTAGGACACTCCCAATGCTATTCAAAGGACTTTCTGAGATATAAAAAGATTCTATAACCTATAGTGTCTGATGTGGCAGCTACAAAGGCTACTGAAAACTTTAAATGTGTTAATATAACATAGTATCAGAAGTATAATTTTATCTAATTGCCCATAAACTATAGCCAGAAGCTATAGTATTGCAGCATTGCTCTGAATACTTTGCCTTTGTACCTGTTCCTACTACTAAACATGACCTTTCCCCCACGGGCTCCCTCATGCCTCTGCTCAAATGTCACCTTCAGGGTGAGCCCTGATCACCAAGTTCAAACAACTGTCCCTTCCCTCTCACTCTCAAGCTCAGCATCTTGTTCACTTCTTCTACTCTTAAATTGTTGTTCTTTATTAGGTTACATCACGATTACACGTTTACAGAAAAAAAAAAATAAGGTTGATTTTATGAGGGCAGGGGCTTCTGTAAGCCTCATTTCCCATCTGTAAAAATGAAGTAATGTCACCCACTTGGAGGTTTGCTACCAAGGTAGACCCTATGCTATTGCCAGGGCAGTGTGGCTGGTCAGAGAGAGAATCTGGGTGCGTCTGAGATTCAAGGGACAATGTATAGAGTGAGCTCCTCCAGCTCATCGTTGTGTCCTGAGTAAAGGGAGGCTCGGCATGCCACCTCCAAACCTGTTCTTAGCCTCCTCGATTTCCGTTTGTTGTGAAAACGAGCATTGTAACAGTTTACACATCCCGGGGATGTTATGAAGGAGAGGGAATTAACAATCCTGCGTCTTCTACATACTTAACTAGAAATAGTGTGTTTGCTGAAATAACCAAAACATTTATGATTTTTTTAAAGTAGTGTGCGGCAATTTGCAATTGTGGTTACATATATTTGATAAGCCAGTGTAAACACACACAAGTGTGTGCACACACCAGGCAACAACAGCTGACTGCCACGTCCCAGAAATTCAGGACGCCCTCCCGTCAGGTCGCCCCCAGCCCGCCCGGGGCCCCGCACCACCTTTCTTTCCCTTGAGTTGCATCTCCGGTTCCTCCATGGCGACCACGGCCCGGGGAACCTGAGGACCGGAACTGAAACTGTGGAGTGGGGATCTCCGACTAAACCTTCCCCGGTGAAACCAGACGCCGCGGCGCTCCAGTTCCAGTGCAGTTTAATCTGTCTTCCCCACTCCTTGGTTTCCCGGGACTAGACCCGAGTTATGAGAGGCAGGGGAAGGTGTCACTCAAGAGGCGGTGAGGCGGGGCACACCTTTCAAGTTCCCGGAGGGACTTCTAGGCAGGGGAGAAGCAGGGGCGCCCTCCTACCCCGAAGCCGTTTTTTCGGGGCAGACGAATTGAGGGAACGCTCTACATGCAGGCTCGCCTTGTAACCCGGCTCTACTGTCACGAAATCACTGCCTATGAGATCCAAAAGCAGAGAGGACATTATGATGGACTTGGATAGTGTTGTCTCTTTAAATCCCGGACTCACTGCCCACCCGCGCCCCCACCACCCCTAGACAGGAGAAGCCCCGCCCATCCAGTCGAAGCTGGTGCTGATTGGCTCTCTCTGGAAAAACTTATGGGCGGAGCTGGGACTGAAAAGCCGTAGCAAAGACGTCCTAAACGTTCTCCTAGGCCCCGCCTACCACTCTCGGTCCTGCAGGGACTAGAACTCACAGGCGTAACTGCTTTACGTGAGCCCCAGTGGAAGCCACGCCCCTCTCCCGGACTTAAAGGGACAGAAGCAGTTCTTACTGCGTGGGGCCTTCCGCACTTTTGGGGGGCGGGGGTGCGCAGGCGCAGTGGGGGAGCTGCTGGTGGGGGCAGCGATCTCCTATCAACTTGCTCTCTGTCCCGGCAGAAGAAGCTGGGGCGCCGAGGGTCCAGACGCCAGTTTGCTCCCCCCTACATCAGTTGGAGGAGAAAAGTTTGTGAATTGGGTTCCCAAGTTTTTGTGGACGCCGGCTTGCGACGCGGGTTGACAGAGAAGGCTCGTGGGACGTGAGTGGATTCCCGGAATCAATTTGTGGGGTACGGGTAGGATAGAACCAATCACACCTTTATTGAGCGTCACTGTCCCCAAAATAACCAAATATCTAGATCGATTGTTAAGCTATGACCGTGTATCAGGCACCTTGCTTAGCTATTTACAGACGTGATTTCTTTTAGGTTTCATTTCCCCGTTTTATTAGTAAGGAAACAGGCTCAGAGAGGTTAAATCGTGTGGCAAGTCTCACAGCCAGTAGGTGAAGCGATTAGAATAAAAACTGACCCCAGTGCCTGGGCTTTTAAGCCTTGCATGTTGTGTGTGTCCTGGTAGTGGGGAGGTGTGAGCCTGAAAAGCACTTAGATTTGGGTTTTAATTTCTCCAGTGAGTGGTTTACCTACCCTGACTGTGCGAACTGTGTAGCCTGTGCAAACTGTGTGTAGTCTGTGCCAATTTAGTAAGAGCCTTTGATATTTATTGCCATCTCTCTTTTTTCTCTGGCACTTCTACCAGCTTCCCACATGGAGCCCATCCAGCCTGCAGAGGATCTCAGTCTGACCCAACGGCCCCTTGCCCCAGAACTTGCAGACCTTGAAGACCCTGGGGATGAGGCCCCGGATAGTTCAGACACTGTGGTCCTCAGTCTCTTCCCCTGCACCCCAGAGCCTGGGAATCCTGAACCAGATGCTGGTGCCTCCTCACCTCAGGGTAGGATACTTCACCTGGCCTCTGAACTTTGGCTTCTGGGATGCTTGGACAGTAGAATGTCAGACCTGCGATGGGACTTCTATTTACTGTGTAGGGTGTGTCTTCCCTTTATACCTAGTGAGAGATTGCTTTTTGCCTGTAAAACCCACATAGCATAAAAATTATCATTGTAACCAAAGGTGTGTATGATTCAGTGCAGTAAGTAGCCACTATGTTTGCAGCCATCATTTCTATTGTAGTTCTAGATCATCAGCACCTCAAGAGGAGGTCCATTAGCAGTCATTCTCATCCATCCCACAGTCCCTGACATCTCATCTGCTTTTTGTCTGTGGATTTGCCTGTTTTGGACATTCATGTAAATGGGTCACACACTGTGTGACCTTTTATGCCTGGTTTCTCATTCAGCATCATGTTTGCAGTTCTTCCACATTGTAGCTTGTATCAGGATTTCACTCCTCTTAAAGGCTGAGTGATATGCCACTATATGGATGAACCAGGTTTCTTGTGACTGGAATCCTTGAACATGTCTAATTCAATTCCCAGGGACTTTATCTTTGCTGGTTCCTTTCTGAGTGGGGAATCCTCCTCCAACATCTCTTTTCAGGATTGATCTCTGAGTTGGTGACCCCTCCTCAAAGCAGCCCTCCCTGACCACTTTGTCTAAAGCAGGCTCACCACTACCCTCCATTCTTTTCACCTTTTTCTACCTGCTCCTCATTACTTCTGAAAACTTTTCTCAAAGTGGGCTTTTATTCTATTTTCTTTTTTCTCTCTGACTTACCCCACTTGTTCACAGGTCCCTTAAAGGCACATCCTGATACCCAGGGAAGTAGAGTGAGTAAGATGGTGGGCACTGTTTTTGGAAGTTTCAAGCTCCCAGGTCTGGCCTGAAACCCCAGAGATCTACCATGGAGAAATTGAGGTTCTTCTCTTGTCTCTCAGCCGGCAGCTCTCTGAAACACTCCACAACCCTCACTAACCGGCAGCGGGGGAATGAGGTCTCAGCTCTTCCAGCCACCCTGGACTGTGAGTGAATTCTTGGTCCCAGAGGGGAGTCAGATAGCAGGGTGGCAGGGGCTGAGAGGATCAACTTTAGATTGGGGGTATACTGGGACACCAGGAGTGAGGACTCTTCATCTCTCTGTTTTGCAGCCCTATCCATTCACCAGCTTGCCGCCCAGGGGGAGCTGAGTCAGCTGAAGGAGCACCTGAGGAAAGGTGATTGTCCACACACTTGCACTGGCGTGTCCAGTCCTGAGTCTTAGTATGTGCAAGTGCTGACATGACCCATGAGTGCCCATGTGTGTATATGTGCCTGTCTCTACACGTCTGAGGGTGACGATGGCTGTACATCCAGGTGTGTTCTCCCCATGCCTGACCCCACACACACACATACCCCACCCCCCATCCCACAACACTGGGAAGAGTGGGTGGGGTGCAGCCCAGTGGAACCCTTCCACTCCTGCCAGGCGACAACCTCATCAACAAGCCAGATGAGCGAGGCTTCACCCCCCTCATCTGGGCCTCTGCTTTTGGAGAGATCGAGACCGTCCGTTTCCTGCTTGAGTGGGTGCGTCTGGACTGGCTGGGGTGTCCCAGGGAATGGAGGGTGGGCTGGGCTATCCTCTGAGTATGCTGTTACTTCATGTGTTAAGGTGGGGTTGCCACAGGGTCCCCAAGATTCCAGGGACACCCCCATCCTACCTATTACTTCTCCCTCTGCCCCCCTTCTATGACTGCTCCTGTGTCCCCCCACCCCAGGGTGCGGACCCCCACATTCTGGCCAAGGAGCGGGAAAGCGCCTTGTCACTGGCCAGCATGGGTGGCTATACGGACATTGTGGGATTGCTGCTGGAGCGTGATGTAGACATCAACATCTATGACTGGGTGAGGTGCCACCACTAGCCCTTGGTGCTGAGAATATAAAACAGACCCACCTTCAATCCTCCCAGAATTGATTGGGGATGGGGCAGAAACAAATAGAAAACTGAGCTCTGGTAAGCAATGCTGGAATGGCAGGCTCCTAGGCAATTGCAGGATCCCAGAGGTGGCCCATATAGCCAGGAGAGGTCTTTCTGGAAGGAGGAGCATTTTAGCTGACATAAAGGAGGTCAGGTGATGAGCAAGGGGGACCAATTCAGCTGGAAGTTACAGTTATTGTGAGAATCAGGAAAATATTGTAATAAAGCATTGGTTCTCCCACCCCGTCCTCAGAATGGAGGGACACCGCTGCTGTATGCCGTGCGTGGCAACCATGTGAAGTGTGTGGAGGCCTTACTGGGTGAGTGGGAGTAGACTGACCTTTTGGGACTCCTTCTGGTCCAGGAATGGGCTCTGAGCTCTTGATAACTCTTGGAAGGTGCTGTACCACCTGCTTTTACCAGAGGATTGACTTGGGAAGGACATATGGGCATCTAGCTACCTGGCTGAGCATCCACTCTGTGCTTCAGCAGTCCTGGAAATGGGGATTCTGTTGACGTTTCAGCTGAGAGTTTAGTCTCTTATCTACAGGCATATTGACAACCAGCAGACCAGTGGTTGTGGGGTAGTCATTGATCCTCCCGAGTCGTCGCACCCAACTCTGGGCTCCTGGTTCCCCAGCCCAATCCCACCAAGTGCCTGCTCTGTTTTGCAGCCCGAGGAGCTGATCTTACTACCGAGGCCGACTCTGGCTACACCCCTATGGACCTGGCTGTGGCTCTGGGATACCGGAAAGGTTGGCTTGAAACAAAAGGGTAGTGACAGGGTGCTGCTGGCAGGGCAACCACAGGGAACATCAGATACCCCCTTAGACAGGAGATCCTGGCAATGAGCATTTGTGTTAGTAAACATCAAGCACCACTGTGCACCTGGCCTGGGGACATCCTCACTTTGGTTCTGGGGTTGTGTGTGTGCTGGAGGTAGGAGGCTGGCATGTGTCAGTGACAGGTACACATAGGCATTGACATGGGTGGAGTTCAGGAGGGCTCCTTGGGGTGAGGGAGGACAGCACATACAGAGGTCTGGCTGGGTAGAAACACCACAGTGCAGGGGTCATGGAGCCAGGCTCTCCTGGAGGTAGGTGTTAGCAAGGGCAGCAGTTGACCCTAGTTTGAAACCCCACTTCCCCCTTCAGCTTCTTCATCCATAAAATGGGGAGATTCTAACAAGACAGACCTCCTAGAGTCACAGGGAGACTGGGAGATCTTCAGTTCCTTCTTTGCGTTTACTCCCTTTGGAATAGAAATTATTTGCCAGAACCATTCTTTTCATAATTCACTAATTTTGTTTGGTAAGAAATATTTATAAAGACTCCAAAACTGCATTTTTATAAATGTGGGGGACACTTGAGGGTCCCCTTGGGGTAGCATCTTCATCTTCCCAGCTGTGCCTGGGAAGGAGTATAGATTTCTCCATGTGTCCAAGTTAGGGTCCCCATTCCTGAAAAGAGGATGCAGTTTCCAGGGAGGGCAAGATATTACAATACCCCTCACACACACCCTCTGCAGTCGCTACTCAGTCACTCCCGCCTGTCCTGTGTCCAGTGCAACAGGTGATCGAGAGCCACATCCTCAAACTCTTCCAGAGCAACCTGGTGCCCGCCGACCCTGAGTGAAGGCTGCCCACTGGGACTCAGACACTCAGGGAGCAAAGCAAAAGGTCAACCCAGATTTGGGGGGATCCAGCACAGGCTTCAAAGGCAGCTCAGATCTTGGACAGATGGTGGGAGGGGGCCTTTCCCAAGAGGAACCAATAAACCTGTGCAGAACTCGACGGACTTTGCTGTGCTTCCTGGAACAGGTGGCTGTCCAGTAACCTCATTCCTTCTTCTCCCCGAATACCCGGAGGTGGTAGATGACCACCCGGCCAAAAAAGTCTGTGGCATCTTCAAATGTCACCTTCAGTTGGTCCACCTCCGCAGCCGGCACAGGAAAGGTGTGAGCACAGGCAGTTAAGGCAAAGAGGTGACACAGTATTTCCCACCTGCAGCCCCATCCAGCCCCCCCTCAATACCCGCAGTATGCTGGGTGACCGGCAGACTTTGGGCCTTTCTGAGACTTTCATACAGAACAGGTTATCACCAACTGGCTGCACAGATAAAGCCATAAAGGCCTAGATTCCACTGGTCAAAGTCATGTGCCAGGACTGGTGCTTGGGTCCAGCCAGGCCAATAACTTTCAGCAGCACACAAGACCCTCTAATTCCCACCCTCGAGGCCCATGCAAGATATCTGAAGAGAGTTGTTGTCTTCTGGGTAGAATTCCATAATCTTGCCAAGGGCTTCACCCCCCTGGGAACCTGCAGTGTGAAGAAAGGGGCATACTGTGAGGCCAAGGCACCCCACCCCCAACCCCTACTTTCCAGGGTCTTCTAGTACCTTCCAGACGTCCCCGGCGACTGGAGAAGCCCCCCTGGAACTGGATCTGCAGCTGGGAGACACAGATGCGCTGGGGAAAGTCTAATAACACCCACTGGATGGGACCCTGGAAGTAGACAGGGAAACTGAGACCCAGGGTCAGAGTCCTGCTAAGGACTCACTGCGGACTCAATTGCGGACTCGATTGCGAGGGGAATGGAAATACATCCCTCACTATCCCAGCTGGCAGGGGCACCCTTGACGATGGGGGTAGAGAGTCCAAGGAAGCGCCTCACCTGATCTGAGTTCCAGCAGGTCTCCTCATCCTGGTCGAATAAGTGCTTTTTTCCAAACTGCCGGGTGTTTCGATTCAGGACAGAACTCACCCTGGAGCCACAAGTAGTGCGAGCAGACTGAGCGCACCAAGTGCCTGCTCCCTCCTCAATGCCGACATCAACCCGCAGCTCTGTCCCCCTCCGTACCACCCCGCCTGCCACTGCCCACACCCTCCAGGTTCTCACCTGCTTACGGTCTCTGGACAAACCAAAGAGTGGGTCATGTTGCCTCACAAGGCCTTGCAGAGCGCAGAGGTGGGCTCAGCCTAGGTTCGAATCCCAGCACCCCGTGGCCACAGCGGCTCACCCTTGTACACACGTCCTCTCCTCGGAACGAGAGGGAGGTAGAGTGAATGTCGGGAAAATCGCCAGTGACAGGGGCCAGCCCTTTCACAGCATGTCCGGGAGGGGGAAACAGGCTCTCTCGGGGTTTTGGGAACACCCTCGCCCTGCCGAGGCTCAGTTCCTCAGCAAACTACACCTGGAACCGAAGTCCAGACCCGGAAACGCGGGGCGCGGAGCAGGCGCAGTGCGACTCGGCCCGCCCAGTATCGGATCCCGGGGCGGGGTTTGGTTTGAGCCCCGCCTCCCCGCACCCGCCTCTTAAAGGGCCCACTGCAGGGGTGGCTTTTGCCTTGGAACTGGAGAAGGCTGGTAGGTAGAGTGGTCACTGCTTGTCCGGGCTGTATTTTGAGGCCCAGGACACTGGTTTTGGAGTCCAAAGGCCTTCTATAATGTCTTCCTACTTGGAGAAATCGGCCAAATCAATTCTCATAACTGCTAACAGCCCTGGAACCCCCTACACCTCACTGTCTCCCAGAGGCCAAAGAACTGAGGGAGAAACCATGAAGTTTCCAGTATAGTGAATCAGTCCTTGGTGTTTCAGACATGTGAGGCCAATCTCTAAATCTGTCTTCCCACAAAAATGCTGTCTTCCACATCAAGGAAAGCTTCTTTGGGAGGGGGGGAGGGTGTATATGAAGTGGGTTTTGAAGGATTAACAGGAATTTGCCAAAGCAGATTACCAAAGCCCCAGATACTCTCTGATTCACTAAACAACTCCTCCTATCCCTTACTGTCCAGCCCAATATTGGGTGATGCTGGGGACAACAAGAAGCCTCAGATACAATGACATGCACAGGCAAGGCATGTAACTCTTTACATGTGTACTTCCAGTCCTGAGAAGCCAGGGCTGAGGTCAGAGAGAGAGAGAGTGGTCTGGGGAACAGGAGCACAACCTTGTAGAGAACTCCCTGGGAGAAGGGAGATAAGCCTGCCCCTTAATGAATGGGCAGGAATTCACTAGGGTGAGAACATCTGGGGATAAGGGCAGGAGGGGGTTCCAGGCAGGGAATACAAAGCAAAAGCCTGATTGACTGAAAAACCATGAATTTGAATAAAGTATATGGAGCCTGCTAGTTCCTTCTGGGCCTGGAGCAGTCTCAGGAGATGATTGAAGAAGGGTGGAACCCCATCTGATCTGCATGAGTTGAGGGTTCCCAGGGAGAGCTGCCACTGGCAGGGTTGCAGCCCCTGGCTTTAACTGAATGGCCTGGGATCCAGCCCTTTCAAGAATTGGGGGAATGGTCCTCCACCGTCCTCTGAGTGTCTGGCCAAGCCCAGTCCAGGAGGAGGGGGGTTTGGCTTGGAAACTGGAACACCCCCGGAAGGGTCGCTTTATCAGTCTCTGCTTGCCAGGATTTCCTGTATTCAATTAGGGTCTGGTGCCATGCAGACCAACTCTGCTGGTCTCAGGGTTGGGTTGGCAGGAAATAACCTCCCTACCCTGAGAAAAAGGAAAGAAAAGCATGGATCCTGAGTTCCTGGCTGGGCTGCTCATTGGCCACGTGACCTGGTACAAATATCTTGACCTCTTTGAGCTTTGGTTTCCTCATCAATAAACTGGGGACCATTGTATTTATAAGACTGCTGAAGAATTCAGTGAGTGACACATAACAGGGACTGGCATTTGTATCTGATTTAAAGCCTCATCTTATCTCCACTTGTTGACTTGGGAAACCTGCGATGGCTATTCCATGTCACCCCATTTTATAGTTGTGGACACAGGCAAGATTCCCCAGCAAGGATATGGATGGCCTCAGGGCCCTAACATAACTCCTGTTCTTGGCATGGAGCCCCCTTGTCCACTGGGATAAGGCCAACTCAGTACCTTCTTCCCGCCTCCTCACCCCACTGGCGCCTGGGCATGAAAGAGCCTCCTGTTTCTCCAGGGAATTAGCAGCTCCCAGCAGAGCAGCCAAAAGTTGTCCATTCATTCCCCAGAGTGAAGAAAGACTAAGCATTGCCTCCCCACAAACCCCAGGGCATGGGATAGGTGGAGCTCTATGAGAGCCAGGAGACTTTCCTCTGGTTCACTGAGGGAAACTGAGGCATAGCAACTGAGACAGCCATTTGACCGTGGTCTCCTGACTCCCGGGGAGACCAGGATTCAAACTCCGGTCTGACTCCAGAGTTCCCTCCATTGGGCTGTTTTGCTTTTTCAAGAAAGGAAATGAAAGCTCCAAGAGGGACAGCCATTTGCTGGTGTTACACCATAGGTATGGGTCAGGCAGGAGTGACTCTCAGCCCTACTCATGACTGATCCTACTGCTCATAACTCTACCATCCTGGAGGTATACAGGGAAAGGGTCTAGTTCACTTAAAACTTCAGTTTCCTCATGGGAATCAAGTGCAATGGTTGCTTCAAGCCCTAGCCTGGAGGGTCTTGGGGATGAGTATTATGAGGTTCAGGACTGGGTGTGATTTATCTGCTTGGGGTCTGTCTGGGGCCTGCCCAGGCCCTGCAAGGCCCTACTCAAGAGGAGACAAGCATTTACTCACTGCCAGATGCATTTGTCCATCTAGCAGCATACAAGACTAGGAGCCTGGTAGAGGGGACAGTGGCAATGGGAGGGGATGACGTAGTACAGAGTAACTGAAGTGCATTTACACAGCGGGGACTCCTGGGCTGATTCTGAGTGTGTTGAATGGTGAGTGTGAGTAGCTGTGATGTGAGCACGGCCTTGGGGGGCCTGTATACCATATCTGTAGGTGTGCCCGTAGCTGCAAGGTGGTTGAGTAGGAACAACGTAGGAGAAATGTCAGGAAAGCTAAGGTGTGGGCTTTGAGCAGAGGTTGTGTTTGAGTGTGAAAGAACTCTAGAACTTACCACACTCACAACTGAGTTTAGTTGTGCAGCAGAAGGCATGACTTGTATATGGCCAGGTATAATTGTGTGTCACTGATTGAGTCTGTCTGTGGCAGGTGTATCTGTGTTTGGCATTTGTGACTCATGTGTAGTCAGGTGAGTTTGTGTGTGGCCTGGAGAAAGTGTGTGGCATTGGGCATTGTGTAACTTGTGTGTGACCTGTGTAATATGTATTATCTGTGTGACTTATGCATGGCCTGTGTAACGAACTGGGTGTGGTTGTACATGAGATACCTGTGCTGTCTGCTGTCACTATGATGGGTATGAGTGGTACTGATGACATTGTGTATGACAGATGTGAATATGGTTGCATGTGACATGCCCATGCATCACTGCATATGTTGAGAGGCACTTTGGGGACAACATCTGTCCCTGAGGCCTAGATCTCCATGAGGCCCAGCCTCCCTGTCCCTGATTTGGCCCACCAGCCCTCTCCCCTGACTGGCAGCAGCCCCTGGCCTGGGCCCCAGCCTGAGGGACAGAGAAGGCACTCAGGGCTAGGGGCTGCAAGCCCAATCCCAGCATTGGCCTATAAATAGCTCTTTGAGCCCAACAAATTCCCAGGCAAGGGCACCCCATTCAAGCCCCCAGCAACAGCCTGCCTCTGGGCCACAGGCCAGCCCCTCTGAGCTCAGTCTGGCACCAGCAGGAGAAGGAGGAGCGACCTGAGCAGGGAGGGGGTGGGTGGTCAACTTGGCTCTGATATCACAGGCTTTGGCTCCCACTTGGCCCTTCCTCTAATACGCAACCTCAAGCAAGAGGTCTCTTCCTGTGCCCCAATTTTCCCAGCTGGAAAATGGGCATAGTATGATGGCAGCACCCACATTATGTGTTTATTTCCCATATCATTGTCCCAGCAACCTTGTACAGTGAAACTGTTCATTATCCTGTTTTAGATGGCCAAAAACTGAGGCACAGAAACGCAAAATGATTGTCACCCCATTAGGAATGGCAGGAGTTCTGAACTCTGAATGTGTGGAGGGCAAACAGCTCTGCTCCCATACATATCACACAACCACACCCAGACCTCTGCCCCCTACCACAGCTACAACCACCCCCTCCACACCAGCCTGTCACCTGTCACACTTATATCTGCATAGTCCCCAATCTTCATTCCCTCCTCTGTGATATGGAATGGGACAGTAAGCAAAGTGTGTGTTATCCTTTGGGCTACTGCTGAGTCACAATTCCCATCACCGGTCAGCAGACACTGTCTGCTAGACACTGTCAAGGACAGACAATCGCTGAGTTTGCAACCCTAGGGTTTCCCCCTCATATGTCACTCATTACCAACCCTCTTTAGTAATCTGCCAAAACTATCATGTTCCCTGTTTGCCTAACCCAACCACCATTCTCAGAGATGGCACATACATGCACACACAGTCAGAACACAAGATGCAGTACTCGACCCTCTCCCTGGCATGGGCCATTTTCAGTGCTGAGAGATTCCTTAGGGGGTTTTGTTTTTTATCCTCCTCATTACCATTTTTCATTTGCTAAAAGGCACAACATGGGCCCTCCCTGGTGGTGCAGTGGGTTAAAGCGCAGCACTGTGAAGCTTTAAGCAGTGGTCTCAGCACGAGTTAGATACTCAGGCAGGGAGATGACCCACTTGGCATGGCAGACCTCTCCTATCTTGCCAGCTGCTCCCCTCAGCAGTATATTTCAGTGGATCTGCCTGTTCTGCTCCCCACTCTGTCTTTGGTGAATCCTTTCACCCCTGGCATCTCTGACCTGTACCCCAGTTCTGTATGCATAAATAAATCTTTTAAAAAAATAAAAGGCATACCATTTTTAAATGTACATTTCAGTGGCACCAAGGATATTCATATTATTGTACAATCATCACCACTATCTATTTCTAGAATATTCTATCACCTTAGAAGGAGACCTCATCTCCATGATGATGATTTCCATCTCCCTCTCCAGTGCCTGACAACCACAAATCTGTGCGTTTGACTATTCCAGACATCTTATATAAATGGATCTCACACTGTGTGTCCTTTTGTGCCTTATTTCTCTCACTCAACATCAGCTTAACAAAGTTTATCCATATTGTAGTGTATCAGGGTTTCACTTCTTTTTTTTTAATCCTAGTTCATGATTTACTTATTTATTTTAAAGATTTATTTATTTATTCATATAGAAGATAAAGCCAGAGGTTCTAAGGTGGTGAGAGACTTTACCAGAGAGAGTGGGGAGCAGAACAGGGAGATAGATGAAGTATACTGCTGAGGGGAGCAGAGGGCTGGCCAGGAGAGATCTGCTGTGCCATGTGGGTCACTTCCAGGGCAGGGATCAAACTCATACTACAGAGGCTGCAGCGAGCTTGCAATGCTGCGTCCTAACCCTTGCGCCACCAGGGAAGGCCCGTGTTTCACTTCTTTTTATGGCTGAGTTATATTCCAATGCATATTGGAGACATTTTAAGATTCAGTTTTCCTTACAAGGACACAACACATGTCCCTTTCCCAAAGCAAAATTATTTGTGTGACAACAATACCTGGTGCTCTATAAATGCAAATGGATAAAGGAATGAATGAATGATCCAATGTGGCCACAGTTGCTGGAAAAAAGCTCAGGGATGCAACACTTCTAGGCTAGGTCCTGACAAGTCTTTCCAGCTGTGTGCACCCAGGAAACTTCTGTCCTCTCTGAAGCCTTGCCTTTCCATCGACAATATAAAATGACAGTTGTAGTCAAAACTGACTCAAGAGTGAACCCTGAAGAGTCACGAATGCCAGGGTTGAAGTGTCATCTTTGACCTTTCCTTTTGCATGACCTTGGGAGTGACTTGGCCTGCTGGGGCTCAGTTTCCCCATCTGTAAGATGGGGCAGGTGCCACCATGAGGCATCTGGAGACATTAACGTGGCTCCTGGAACGAAGTGAATGTGGGGGGAGGTAATCAGGCACAATCTCCCCCGGGGAGGGGTGAGTAGTCTAAAGAGTGCGAGCGGTGGGACTTTGGCAGGGGGAGCACCCTCCCTCTCGCAGCCCCGGGAGGCAGGCGGGGGGCGCATGCGCAGAAAGGACCCATGGCCCCTTTATAAGCGCTGAGGCGGCGCGGTGAGAGCCGAGCGCAGGGCGCAGGGCTGGACCCCGCGCGGAGCCTGCAGAGTTCGAGCGTCCTTTGTGCTGGGCGACCGCCCCGGGATGCGTCCGAGCTAGGAGCCAGGTGGGGGTCCGTCGTGGGGAGGGTGTCGCGTCGTGGGAGAGTTCCTTGGTATTTGAGACAGAACCGGGGATTAGGGAGGGAGACCAGGATAAGAGAGAAGCCTCCCCTTCTTTGGGGAGGGGGCTTGTAGGGGGAGGGGAGCCCTGTGTTGAGGAACAAACGCCAACTGGGAGGTCGTTTGAGGATGTCTGTACGATGCAGATGTAGGGATTAGGTTGTCCTAAGAATGCGGAGAAGACCCCACGGTGGGGAGGGACAGGGCTGGGGGCTGGGTCTCAGAATTGGGAAGGGACGCTGGGAGAGAAGGCTCCGGGAGGGACGGCTCAAGTTTAGGGGAAAAAGGGGGACACCTAGTACTGTACAGAGGACTTCAGAACAGGCTAGCCCTGTGCCTGAGCTAAGACGCCCCAGGATTTTAAGTGGGGAACCCCAATTTGCAGATAAATTGAGGATTCTAGGTTGGACCGCAGTAAAGTGGGGGTACCCCACAACAGCCTGAGCCTGATGGAGGGGGTCTGCACCGAGAGTGAGTGCCTTGGGGAATGGACACCTGCAGTCTCCCCATCCTTTTGCTCGTCCCATCACCACATTCTGACTCAAGGAGGAGGCTCTAGGGGCTCCATTCCAGGTGGTCCCTATTTTCCCCTAGAACCTAGAATTGGGGTGATGTCCCTTTTTACAGGGAGCACCCTGGGTCTCTCAGGTGACTGCTGGGTGGGAACACCCAAAAACTCCCAGTTAAAATTCCCAGGGCCAAAAAAAAAAAAAAAATTCCCAGGGCCCACGAGGGACACCCAATCCAAAAAAGGGGCTACCCTTAGCACTTCCACAGCTGATTGAGTCCTCAGCAACACACAGACCTTTGCCTCACCCCTTCATTTCCCTCTATTCATGTGAATGTGTGTGGAAGTCCTGTCTTGTTTGAGGGACATAGGCACTGGGAAGTAGGGGACTGGGACCCAGGCCGAGCCTGGGCAAGAGCGACAGACCCCCATTCTTCCATGCAGGGCTTTGTTCCTCTAGGCAGCACTAATGGGAGACAGCCAGGCCCAGGAGAGGCTTGGCACTGGGCCCCAGCGGGGGCTGTGGGGGAAGGGTGGGAAGGGAGAAGTGGGCGGTGGGACCACAGAAGCCTGCAACCTCACTGGTTTATGGACATTCCCAAATGGAAGGTGTCCCTCAGGGTGTGAGGGCTGGGAGAGTGTGGGGGCTGGGAGATAGGTTTCTGGGGTTCTCTGTGCATCTGGTGTCATGGAGGTTATGCCTTTGTGAGGAGACTTGTACTGGGGGACACATCACCAGGTGGCAAAATTAATGTGTACCCATCAGTCATTAAGGCCAAATTTATCCAGCCCAGCCTGTGCCAGGGTCGGTATTCTGTGTGTGAGTGTATGAGGGAAGCTGTCTAATGGTTGTAGCCTTATGGGGGTTTCTGTGGGGAGCCTGAGGTTCGGGTGTGTTTCTTTGTACAGAAGATGTGCTGCCTGCCTTTGAGTGCTCATATTGTCTCTCTTTGTTAATGTCATTGTGAATCTGTGTGTGTGTGTGTGTCTCCCAGGCTCTCTGTCTAGGGCATGTGCCCACGTGTGTGACCCGTATGTACAACAAGGGTCCTCTCCATGTGGTTGACCATGTGGACTCTGAGCATAGGGGTGTGGGATGTGGTCTGTGTGCAGTGGGCGAGTTTAGGGGGGAGAAGTTGGGGGGTTACGGTACCCAAGAAGTAGCTTGGAATGATTTACTGAGCACAGTTTTCTTTCTCCTTTGAGTTCCATGCTCACACCCATGTACATAAATACTCCCTGGCTTCCAGACAAGATACACACGCATGTACCTATGGTCCATCCAGACATCCACATAACCAGTGTCCACTCTGGGTTCTCAAAGCTACACCCAGTGCACGCAGCTGCTGCAGACCCAAATAAGAGTTACCACAGGGTGCAACCTCATGAACATCCCTGCCCCAAAGTACACTCAGACACAGACAGGAATGCTTGCTGGCAACCTCTCTCAATCTCTCTCGCTTTCAATCTCTTTTTCTCTTCTTCCCCACTCCTTTTCCAGGCGGCCCCTCCCCCACCTCTTGCAGGCCCCTATTTGCATATGCATGAGGTATATGCATTATTCATGAGGGGACAAGCCCTAGACAGCTGTGTAAATGCTCACCTCTGGCAGCCCTCTGGAGGAGATATTTTAAGAGAAGGGGGGTGTGGATGTATGAGGGTGTGAGTGAAGGGGACAAATATATGCAAAAGGGTGAATGTGTATGTGTGTGTGTGTTTGCGCCTGAGGTGGGAGGAGTGCGCCTGAAACAGTGTCACTGGACACTTGTGTCCCTAGTGTATTTGACTATGTATGATGTGAGGCTTTGTTTTCCAAAAGCTAGGTTTTAATTTAATATTTTGTAGGAATTTACAAAGCTCCGTTCATTCCATCCTTACAATAACCCTCTAAGGTATATGTTGGGCAGTCCTTATTTTACAAGTGGGGAAACTGAGGCAGAGTGATGAAGTAGCCTGTCTTGGGTCATGCGGTGTGTAGGTAATCTGTATAAAGCCTGAACTTAATTATTTATTCTCTTTCTCTCTCGCTGTCTATTTCTCATTCTCTTTCACAAACACAAACACACAAAATTCTCTGTACTCATCCCCTCCTAAGGCCTTCCTGGGACCTAATACTCAGCTAGGCCTGGAACAAACATCAGTGTGAAATGCTGCATTTGCTAGGGGCTCTGAGAGGGAGAAAAGTAGACAATCTGGGAGAGACATAGGTTGCTGAAGTTTACGTGTTGGTAGTTGGGAGCAGCTTGACATCTGCTTTGCTGTGCAGCACTATGGAAACCACTTTTTCTCTCTGGGCTTGGAGGGGCCACCTTAAGAAGGCAAGATCAAGTGGTTGGTGCTGCAGCACAGCTGCCCCACAGTTCAGCACCACGGACAGGTCCCCACAGCCTCCAGGCTGGGCCTTCAACTGCTAACTACCTGTTGGAGGGGAAGCAACTGTTCTCCACAACAGCACCACCCTCCCCACCTCTCCTCACCCTCACCTGGTCCAACTTATGAATTCCAACTACACTGTCCTCCCTAGAGAGAGTGTGATTTCATAGGTAATACTCTAACTTCCCATCTAACCCCACCTCAGCTCCAGAGAGGGGTGGTGTGTTCCAGAAGGGTGAAAGACTTTGGGGAGAGGCCACCTCCCCAGGATGTCTAGTTTCTGGAAGAATGTGAGGTCTGAGAGGGCACCACTGTGTTCAGGTGCTTATAGCTGCATGTAGCTTATAGCTTAATAATTGCCCATTTTGTGCCTGTGGGCCACAACCCCTATAGAAGACTGCATCCACAATTGGAGTTTCTCTGTGAGCCTAGGAGACATCTTCACCAGGTAGTATGAAGTAAGACAGAAGGTGGAGTGGGCAGGGGTGAGGCCCCTTCCTCTGGCTGGTACTTGGCTGCTCCTCAAAAAAAATCTAAAGAACTAAGAATAGAACCTTGGCAACAGCCAAATCCAGGAATAAAGCTGAGAAACATATCAGTAAGCAAACCCAGATTAAAGTCTGGCTAGGAGGCCAGTCTGCTGCCCTGGAGGACTCCCCAGTCTGATAGGGGAGACTGACTTGAAAAGTGAGATTTTGATCTTGATTGTGTTGAGGTTAATAATAATAAACTTGAAATATACTCTCTGTGCTAAGCCATTCTAATAATGTGTGTGTATGCTTAGAAGTGTGTGTGTGTGTGTGTGTGTGTATTTAAGTCTGTACTAATTTATCAGTTCCTTCCAACTACCTGATGTATCCCCATCTGACCTATGAGGAAACTGAACACAGAGCTAAGCTACTTACCTAAGGTCACACAACAAGGAATAGACAGAGACAACGCCAGGTATGATTTACTTCAGCATCCATGATATTAACAATAAGACTTCACTGCTCAGATTCTGGGTTCAGATTCTCGCGTGCAGACTTTATGACCTTGAGGAACCACACTCACCTTTCTGAGTTCATTTCCAGATCTGTAGAGCTAGAGTTATGTCCTTTCATGTCCACTGTCAGTAGGGCTGCACTCACCCATCCCCCCTCTCTCCCTCTCCACCTCATTCTAGGTCCAGAATGGGGGCCATGTCTGTCTGGACCTCGGGTCTCCTGATATTCCAGGTGCTGCTTTTTGTGACTGGAGAGCAGGGTGAGTTGAATTATGTGGTGGGAGATGTTAGAACCTAGGGTTTATAGAATGCATGAGGCAGCCTTTTACCTGGAGCGCCTACTCCTGCTGGTTCCCTGGACTTATCTGGAGAATAAAATGAGAATAGATGAAAAGGTCTTTGAACAGTCAAAAGAGAACAAGACACCTGAGAAGTTATTTTTAGTCATTGCCAGCAGAGGCAGGAGGTTCCCCCCTCTCACAGTTTTGCTGAGATGAGCTGAAAGGAGAGAAAAATGAGAATAGTGCAGAAATTGATTAGTGATGCCTGCCATGGGTCAGGCAGTAGAAATGAGATCCTGTGCTGCTCCACCCCAGTGGCTGTCAAAGCCCAGGCCATAGAAATGTGTTCTGTGGCCTTAGCCAAGTGCAGTGATCTCTTCAAGCCTCAGTTTCCTCAAACCCCAAAAGAAGATGGGGGCTACTTCCAGAGGGTAATGAAAATGAATTGAACTATCAATATAGTACTGCTTTATAGAAGGTACTCTGCAAACCCCATTTTTCCTTCCAATGGTTGTCTTTCGCTTAACTTTTGGGGGAGCCATGACTCATAAAGAAACAAGACTTCCACATCCACACAGTGAGTGAGTGACAATGAGAATCCAATTCCTGTCCCTATAGGAAGAGACCTCCAGTGTATAGATTTTGAGTGGAGGCAGAATGTGAAGGGATTCAAACTGATTACTCATCCTCCTCTGCTCACAAGTGGGGATGATGGGAGATATGTGCCCTGTGTTATGACATTGTGTGGGAGGCCTACCTTCCTTGGCTTAGGCCCCCACATCTGTAAAATGAGGGACACAGCCATCTGTTCTAGACCCTGTCTCTGAAACATGCTCTCTCTCCACTTTCCCCACCCCAGGCACTCAGGATGCTGCTGAAAAAGGACTGCACATGCAGAAAGTTGGGTCTGGGTCAGTGAGGGCTGCGCTGGCAGAGTTGGTGGCCTTGCCTTGTCTCTTTGCCCTGCAGCCACAGCCAGGTGCTGCCCACGAGGCCCCTCGGATCAAGTGGACCAAGGTTCGGACTATGTCTGGCCAGCGGCAGGACTTGCCCATCCTGGTGGCTAAAGATAATGTGGTACGAGTGGCCAAGGGCTGGCAGGGGCGTGTGTCACTGCCCTCTTACCCCCGCCACCGGGTTAATGCCACACTGCTGCTGGGGCCGCTGCGGGCCAGCGACTCGGGACTGTACCGTTGCCAGGTGGTGAGAGGCATTGAAGATGAGCAGGACCTGGTGCCCCTAGAGGTGACAGGTCAGTGGGTGGCAGGGGAGAGGCAGAGGTGGGATGGGAGGGACTGGGCCTGAGTACTACCCACTGTTATCTCAGAAATCACTCTCTGAACTATTCCCTTTCCAGATAAAGTTACTAAGAAAGTCTCCACAGATACTGCTCTTTAGCACCTCTCTTTCTTAGCTGAGAGCAGCCTCTCTCTCTTTTGTGGATCACAGTATTTCAAGGGAATTTATAACTTTAAGTTTTATGGCTACCTAAAACATTCTGTGGCTACCTAATTTTACACAAGACAAAGGATATAAGATATTGCATTTAAAATAGGAGTGTAGGGGCCTCCCTAGTGGTGCATGGGTTAAAGTCTCAGTCCTATCAAGCTATTGCCAGTCACTGTGGTATGAGTTCAAATCCTGGCCAGTGAGCTGAGCCACGTGGTGCAGCAGATCTCTCCTGGATCACCCACTTCTCCCCGTAGCAGTGTATTTCAGTACATCTGCTTATTCTCTCCACTCTACCTCTAGTGAATCCTCTTACCACCCCCCACACCTATGGCCTACACACCTGTTCTTATATGCATGAATAAGTAAAATAAAATTTAAAAATAAATAGGAACACAAATTTCCTTTTAAAATAAATATATCTGTTTTTTAAAAAATGAGTTATTTTTCAAGTCAATTAGAACTATATTAAGTAAACAGTAGTTCTCAAATACATGTTTAACCAACTCCTGCATAAAAGTCTTTCTGTTGAAATGTCCAGTGTATTTTTTGTTTTCCTAACTGATCAAAGAGAATAGGCAAAATGTGTTTTTTCTGTTATTATTAAAACATCATTTTAGAACAGCGCCTGGCACATAACAGTTGCTCATTGAGTATCTAACGAGTCATTCAGTGAATGGGTTATTGGATGGAAAATGCCCCTGGACTCCTGCAGCACAGTCCATTTCCCATCACTGATGCTGGCCATGAGCAGGACCTTATCCCCTGTCCTGAGACTTCATCTCCCCCATCCTAGGGTCTCACTGCATATTTTTTGAAGTCCACCAGTCATTCTCTTTCTTAGGTCTTGTTTCTCAAAATCCATAAACCTGGAAAAAAACTAATAAGTGGTGCAGGAAATGAATCCCACCTCTATGCTTGTTCAGTTAATTCATTCACTGAGACATCTGATTGAGCACCTACCGTGCGCCAACTCAGGCTAAAGACAGCCTGGCTGAGATGCTGCTGCCATTGTTCTTGGTCTGATTAGATGGAGGCGTGTCTTATGCCTTGTCTTGCTCAGCCATTTCTTTCATCCCTAAATCAAAATTTGAGTCACAGGGAGCCTGTTACTGAGGCCTGTGTGTCACCTTGCCCCAGGAGCCTCCCATGATTCCATTCCCAGACTGGGCACGGACTCCGTTTGACCTCTGGTTGCTGCCTTTGCTTCATCTATTGGCGCATGCCCATACTTTCTAAAAGGCACAGACTCTCTCTCACTCTTCTACAGGCCTCCAGGGCCTAACCCTAAGCATGAAAAGTGCTCTCTTTGGTGTGAGATCTTCCTGAATAATTCATAAATTCTGGCACTGTTTTATACTGGATGTATGGCCATGAACATTCCCTCAATTTCTCCAAACCTTAGTTTCTTCCTCTGGAAATGGGAATAACCAAGGTACTTATAAAATTTCAATGAGATAATACTTACAAGTTCTTTCATTGTAAATATTTGAAAAATACCAGCCCTTTATGACCATTGTTACATTTCCTCATCTGTCAAATGGGAGCATATTGTGTCATTCCCCACCCTTGTCCTGTCCGTACTTAGCACAGTGAGTGGGTGTGGTATAAGGCATGGAAAAGCAGCAGGTCTATTATCAGACTTGGGGGAGGGCTCATTTTGTACGGGGGAATTTTTTTCTTGAAGATTCCAGCATATGTTGATCCCCTCATCCTGAATATTCCCCTGTAGGTGTTGTGTTCCACTACCGGGCTGCCCAGGATCGCTATGCCCTCACCTTTGCTGAAGCCCAGGAGGCCTGCCGGCTAAGCTCAGCCACCATTGCAGCCCCAAGGCACCTGCAGGCTGCTTTTGAGGATGGCTTTGACAACTGCGATGCTGGCTGGCTCTCTGACCGTACAGTTCGGTGAGGGGCTGTTCAGGGGGGGAAGGTGGAGAGGTAGCCTCTGAGAAAAGGTGGGTCTGTGGGGACACGGGGTGCACATATGTGAGTGGAAACCCCTGCTTGTCTTATCAGGTATCCCATCACTCAGTCCAGACCAGGTTGCTATGGTGACCGTAGCAGCCTTCCAGGAGTCAGGAGCTATGGGAGACGAAACCCACAGGAACTCTATGATGTCTACTGCTTTGCCCGTGAGCTGGGGGGTAAGTCCAGGGCTGGCAGGACCCTCCCCCCTGCCCTTGTTAAGTTCCCCAATCCCCATCCCTCCCTAAATTCTTGTCTCACTCTCTTTAGTGTCCCTCTCAACCTGCAGCCATTACCTGGGTGGGCGTACCCCTTCCCTGAGCTACCCCCTCTGGCCACCCTTCCCTTTTTCTATTTCCTTCCCTCTCCTCACAGAACCCCTCCCTCTTTCTGAAGCCCGACCAGCTCTGTTGTCTGGGTTTCCTCATTTTTTAAAAAGAAGTTAAAGCCCTACCAGCAAAACCCAAGCTGGAGAGTGAGATCCCCTTCCCTGGTTCCGGAGGAGGGTGCCTGGCTCGGGTAACCTTCTCCCGCGCCCTCCCGCAGGCGAGGTCTTCTACGTGGGCCCTGCCCGCCGCCTGACATTGGCTGGCGCGCGTGCCCAGTGCCGTCGCCAGGGTGCCACGCTGGCCTCGGTGGGACAGCTGCATCTCGCCTGGCACGAGGGCCTGGACCAGTGCGACCCGGGTTGGCTGGCTGATGGCAGCGTGCGCTACCCAATCCAGACTCCGCGCCGGCGCTGTGGGGGTCCGGCCCCAGGAGTGCGCACCGTGTACCGCTTCGCCAACCGAACAGGCTTCCCCGCTCCAGGAGCGCGCTACGACGCCTACTGCTTCCGAGGTGCGCGAGGGGCGGTGGGCGAGGGGCGAGGGGCCAAGTCCCCACCTGCTTGCCCCAGGGTGGAGACGGTGTCTTGGAGGGTGAGGGGGTTCCCTGTTGGCCACGCCCCCTCCCCGGTGAAGGCCACACCCCAGGTGAGGGCTGAGATTTTCTCTAAAGATCACAGCCTTCACACACCTAGATGAAGACCCTGGGAGCTCTGCTTTCCAGGGAAGCTCACATTCAGGATGTGGAAATATGCTGGACGATAAGCCACGTCCCGATGAAGGCCTGCTGGAGGAGGACATCACACAGCTCTAGTGGAGAAAGTTCTGTTTGGGAGTGAGCCATATATCCTGAGGTCCCTGAAAGTGTCACCTATGGGTGAAGCATAATTTACTTGGAGTCTTGCACTAAAGCACCCCCTGGGGAGGAGAGCTGCCTCCACTGGCCACACCTTGATGAAAACCACACCCCGGAGGCAGGATGAAGGCCAACCCTCACCTTTGAACTAGGGCCACAGCCTCAGTGGCTGCAAGCTTCAATCCCAAGATACTGAGGTTTCTGTGTGAGGGAAGCAAAGATCTGTTGGAAGCCATGTCCATTGTGTGTCCATGGAAGACACGTACATTCCCTCCCCAGCTTCTGGCACCATGGTGGGACCCCTTTCCAGTTGTGACCTTTGATCCCTTTCCAGTTAGAACCAATTGACTCAAACCTTGACAGGAGGTTCAGTTGAGCTCCAGCTTAGACAGTGTGGGTAACAGCTTTGCACCTCCCTCTCTCAAGCTGGGGGCTCCTAGAGACCACTCAAGATGGCAAAGGAGCACAGAGACAGAGATATCCAAGTCTGTGCTGTAGTGTACTAGAATGTGGATAGACAGTCAGAACTTCCCAGCCAGTTCCTGGGCCTAACATAACCTTTTGTACTTTCTTCCACAGCTCATCACCCTTCACCACAGCATGGAGACACAGAGACCCCTTCATCTGGGGATGAGGGGGAGATTTTGTCTGCAGAAGGGCCCCCAACCCGAGAATTGGAGCCTAGCCTGAGGGAAGAAGTGGTCACACCTGACTTACAGGAGCCACTGGTATCCAGTGGAGAGGAAGACCCTCTGATCCTGGCAGAGAAGCAAGAGTCTATAGACACCCACAGCCCTGCCCCTGGGAGCCTCATGCTGGCCTCCAGCCCCACCTTGGAGGCTGAGGGGATATGGCTGAGCACAATAGCCCCCAGCCCTGGCCTGATGCTAGTAGCTGGTACTGGCACACACACTGTGACAGCCGCTCCCAGCCCCATACCCAGGAAAAGGGGACGCTTCAAGGGACTAAATGGACGCCACTTCCAGCAGCAGGAACCCCAGCAAGGTCTAGAGGGGGCCCTGGAGGCCAGCTCCCAGCCCCCTACCCCAGAAACTGCTGGAAATCATGTGGAGCTTCCCCTGACCACAGGAACCACAGAGTCCTTGGGGAGTGACCACAGCCAAAGACCCTGGGTCGTGCTGAGCAATGAGGTCGATGTGCCTGGAGCTGGTGAGTGGAATTCAAGGGGAGGTGGGATCTGACTGAGGGCCTTGGGAGGGGAGGAGGCTGGGAGAGAGGAAGGGAGGCTGAATCCCAGCTGCACTCCCTGATTTTATTACCCATCAGAAGCTTTCTTTCTTAGGCTTAGAGCCAAGGAGATGTCAACAACTATTGATAAAGGTAATGATGATTCTTGTCGTTGATGTTGTAGGTTCTGCTGGCGGCAGGAGTCCCCCAGAGCCCTGGCTATGGCCTCCAACCTTGGTCCCACACAGCATCTCAGGCCCCAGCAGGGACCCTGGCCTGGAGTCAGAGGAAGCTAAAGGTCCCAGTGTGAGACCAGTCACACCCAATCTTCCCTGGTCCCCCTCGGAGACCACTGCCCCGGATCTCAGTCCCTCTGGGAGCCCAACTTCTGCCCCATGGGATGCCTCCCCCATGGTCACTTCACAAGACCTCCCTGTGATGGCCATGCTTCGTGCCCCCAAGCCATGGCTCCTACCACATTCTACACCCCTCCCCACCCAGGCTAACAGGGTTGAGGTGATTAGTGAGGCCACGGCATCATCTTCACCCTCCCCTGCTTCAGACACCCAGGCTGACCCCCAGGCCTCCATTGATCCAGAGGTATATTCTCTGACCTCCTCCATCCTAACAAGATGGAGTGGAAAGGCCACACCCAATAGCAACAGTGCAGGAAGTCCCACAGTTCCCTCACAGGCAGACATGAACACACAAGCTGAAGCTAGACCTAGCTCCCCCAGCTCAGACTTTGGAGAAATTGGGGGAACCAGCCTCACTCAGCTTAGCGAAGCTGAATACCCCAGCCCCAGCCCACAGGCTTCTGTGGACAAGATTATAGTGACAGATCTCCCTCTCACTGAGGCTGCCATGGAGCCCACAGGAACCAGACACACCTTGGAGACTGATTCTAGGGCCTTCAGCACAACATGGCAGACTACCATGGAGGAGGTACAGGGCATGTGGCCCACACTACACAGTGAAGGGCTGGACTTGCACCCTAAATCTACACCTTTGGGAGGACCTAGGGTGACTCCAAGTTTGGAGCCTTGGGTTGCTACAGATGAAAAAGTAACAGTGGACCCCATGGCTTCTACAGCCATGCTGGACCCTGGCAGTGCTGGTGGAATTTGGGAACCTAGATCCCACATGGTTGAGGGAATTGAAATTTCCACCATGAGTCCTCAGGGGGCTGTGGACACAACTGTGGGCACGTCCCTAATGTCCCTGAGCCAGGAGAACAAGGCAGGGGACCCAGCCACTTCCACATTGGTCTCCTCCAGCTCCCAACCCCACTCAGAGCTGGAGGATCAGACAGTAGGAACCTCAGCTCCATCACACCAGGGCAGTCCCCTGGGGGAGCCTGATCTTCCTCCTTGGACACCAACTTCTGCCAGCATGGAAGAGCCTGCCTCAGTGTCCTTGGGGGAGACTACCATGCTGTGGAACCCCCCCAGCACCATCTTGCCTACTTCCTTGGGCCAAGAGGAGTTTGAGCTGGAGGTCCTAGGGGGGAGTCCAGGTGTGGAGGGCTTCTGGGAAGAGACAGCAAGTGGAGAAGAGCCCACCCTGCCGGGGAGCCCTGCAAACTGCACTGTGGAGGAGGGTGAGTTCCAAGGTCATGGGTCCATTCCACCCACAGAGGTCAGGGCTTGGGAACCTGGGGCAGAGTAGGGAGGGAGGGGCCCAGGGAAGTTTCTGACAGTGGTGATGTGGGAGGTGGAAGCTTGTCAGGAGTTGAATGGTATGAAGGGCTTCCCGGGAGGGGTATCAGCAAAAAGAAGTGCGAAAAACCAGGGGTGACAGTGAATTTAATGCTTGGAGACGCACACGGAGGCATCGGGGACACTGGTTTGGGGGATGAGGTCAGTCAGCAAGTCATGTCTGCTCTAAGAGCTACAGGATGCTGGGAGCTGTCCTTCAGTGCCTCAGTCTGGGTTAGACAGGGGCCAGGGGGGCAGAAGTAGGAGGCATGGCAGGGAGGGCTTCCTGGACATGTGGGAATTGCATTGGAATCCAGTGATAAGGATCATGGGGGGGTCCTCAAGCCACAAGGGAAGTGGGTGCTGGGAAGGGGTGAGAGTGATCGGCATCACCCCATGTTATAGACAGGAGTCTGAGGCACAGGGAGGCATGTCACCACCAACCAGCCAGTTGAATTTCAGTGGGGGCTCAAGTCCACATGGGTGTTTGCACTTGCTCTGTGTCAGAGTCCAGAGAAAGCCACACCCTGTTCTCGGGGCCAGCTGTGTCTACAACCCAGACTGCAAATCTTGGGGCCCCCCTTTTTTTTAGGTCCTGCCATAGTGAATTTTTGTTTGTTTGTTTGGCCAAGTGAGCTTAAGAAAAAGTGCCTTTTTCTTAAATACTCATTAACACAATTGGGCTTGTACTTCTCTTTTATGAAAGGCAGTGAGGGAAAAAGATACTGGGTACTGTCCCCCACTCTGTCACCTGTGGACTGTGTCCAGGGTCAAATCCTCTTTTCTTAGATGCCCAGGTAGCAGGTGGACTCTGGGTGCATGTGCTGGTGAAAACTGACACATCTTGGTTCTGCCTGAATGCTTACCTTGTTCTGATCACGTTACTGAAATCATGTTGGTATATCCCTTTTACGTCCTGTGGAACAAGTTCTACACTTTACTGATGGAGAAAGTGAGGCACAAAAAGGTCAACTGACTTTTGCAGAGTAATACCCTAGGGAGTGCCTAGAAGAAGGTCATCTGACAACAGGGTCTCTATTTCACCCATTAGGCCGTATGATACTTGTTTCATGGGTGAAGGGAAAAAATAAAAAACAGCCAGAAGCCCTGGGAGAGGGTGAGTTTGTTCAGAGAGGGAGCAGAGAAGGAGAGGTTCTGGGGAGGGCCAACCTTGAAGGGTAGGCAGAAAGGCAAGAAAGCCACCTCGAAGGGGGAGTTGAGTGAGGGCCAGCTGGGTCTGCCTTTGACTTTGCTGTATTGTTGGATCCAGACTGAAGTCAGAGGCAGCAGCAGAGCAGAGTGGAGGGAGGCAGGGAGACCCGGTCGCCTACCCACCCTGGTTTGCAGCAGAAATGCTAATGAAGCCAAAAATAAATGCAGCACCAGCAAGCGACTGAGTCACTGCCAGTCCGTGGGCAGGTGTCGGCAGCTCAGGGCACCTGGCGGGGCTCACGCGTCCCCGTGCCCAACAACCCCATGCGTGTGCACACACGTGCTGGGGCCACACCTGGAACAGACACAACCACCACCTCAGGCAAGGCAGGAGGGCCAATAGTTACCTGCATTCAGTTCGCAAGCAATTGCTGAGTGCTTTTTATGTTCCAGGCTCTATTCTGAGACAAAGCCCCTTGCCTCTGGAAGCTGACCTTCTAGAATAATATTCTAGAACCTTCCCCAAAGTGGAAATGTCCTCAAGCCCCACTGTCTTACACAGTGCTTAGTGGGCGGCCACTAAGCATTTAAAGTGGTTAGTACAAGAGAGGAATTGGTTTTCCAATTCTCTTCCATTTTCATTAACTTCAGTCTCAAGAGCTGTATGTGGCTGCCCTGTGGAACATAACCGCTCTGGGGGAGGCATGGACAAGAGGTGATGACCCTGATAAATTTTATTAGAAGACAGAAAGCAATGAGGGCAGAGTAGAAAAGTAAAGCCGTGGACGGTGGCTTGCAGTTTTTGAAGGAGTATGGAAAGGCCTCTCATCCAACAAAATTCCTGAGGTAAAGAAAATGTTAGGTGGAAATCCAGGGAAGAGTGGTCCAGGGAGCGGGGACATCCTGTGCAAAGGCCCTGAGGCCAGATATACTGTGCCTGATATACAGGAAGAATAGCAAGACCACCGAGACTGGAGCGGCATGAGCAAGGGGGAGAGGTGGGAAGGTTGGGCAGGAAGCCGCTGGGCTGCAGTAAGGACTTGAGCTTTTCCTCTGAGGGCGATGGGAGCCTTGGGGGCATCTAGGCTGAGGAGCATTGTGTTCTGTCCCCCTCTGCTGAATGTGGGGAATGAAGTCGACACCAAAAAAATGGGAGAAAGAGCTTGTTACCACCTCAGTTTTTGGTGAAGCTCCAGTCTGGATAAAAGAGAACAAACTCTAGATTGCAGGGCTGGAGAGAGGGCCTACTGAGGGCTGCCAGGTCTCTGGAGGCCATGGTGGCTCCTGTATTGTCTCTGTGTGGCCTTGAGCCAGGCCCTGTCCTTCTCTGGTTCTTGGTTCTAGTGTCTGCATAGTGGAAGGAGTGAACGCTCCCCTGATATGGGACTGGAGGTGGCTGGGGTAGGATGGGAGTTCTTGTCCTGCCTCTCCTAGGCTCCAGGATAGAGGTCACCCACTCCACAGATGAGGAATGAAGACCTTCTTGCCTCTAGGAAAACTGAACTGAGAAATAACAAGGAAGGGGGTAGGGGCCCACATTCCCCCGGATGTTGATCCATGCTGAGCAATGTTGAGTCCCCTCAAGACGGATATAAACAAAACTGGACATGGCATTTTGGTCAGAAGAGAAGGACGAATTATTATTTTTTTAAACAGATTTTTAAAAAAAGATGTATTTATTTATGCATACAGAACTGAGGTACAGGCCAGAGGTGCAGGGGCGATGAGAATATTCACCAGGTACAGAGTGGGGAGCAGAACAGGAGATTGCTGAGGGGAGCAGCGGGCAAGACAGGAGAAGTGTGGCATGCAGTGTGGATCACCTCCAGGACTGGGGATTGAATTCACATGCTTGCAGTGCTGTGCTTTAACCTGTTGTGTCACCGAGAAGGGCCAAGGATGAATTATTTTTAGTTTATTTTGTAAATGAAGAAGTTGAAATTCAGACAAATAATTTGCCCTATAAGTAGCAGAGCCTAGAGTCCAACCAGCTTCTCTGACTCCACAGTCCTCAGTTAAAATCACTGTAATCTACCACTTCTCAGTATAAATACTGAGGTTGCATCAAAAGACACTGAACCAGCAGAATGGAGAATGTGATAATTCCCATTCTTCCCCGGGCTGTTCATATACTGTCTGGAATTTTTTATTCACCCCTGTACTCTGAATTGTGACAAGTATTGTGACTGTCAGGGCATCTCCATAAGCATAGGACACTAGAGAGGGCACTTAAACCCTATGCTCTTTTTTTTTTTAAAGATTAATTTATGCATTCAGAACTAGGGTACAGGCCAGAGGTGCAGGCGTGGTGAGAGCCTTCACCAGAGACAGAGCGGGGAGCAGAACAGACTGACTGACAAAGTACACTGCTGAGGGGAGCAGCGGGCGGGTCTGGAGAGGTCTCCCGCGCCATGTGGGTCATCTCCAGGGCAGGGATCGAACTTGTGCTAAATTGGCTTTAGCTTCTTAGTGCTGTGCTTGAACCCGCTGCGCCCAGGGAGGGCCCAAACTCATGTTGAAAGAGAATTTTTGGGAAGCCCATTCCATTTCATTCCAAGTGCTTTTAACACAGGCAGAGCAGCCCACAGGTGTTTGGGGTAGTTCCTGGACACAGAAAGCTCCTCATCATCATAGAGAGAAATGAGGGAAAACTGGCAACTATAGAGATGTGGATAAATGGTTTTTGGAAATCTGAGGACTGGATTGCAAGAAAGTAGTGACTCCTCACCATATTGCCTATTTATTCATCTCAGCCCCCGTGGATCCCTGTGAGAACAACCCTTGCCTGCATGGGGGCACCTGTAAAGCCAATGGTACCGTGTATGGCTGTAGCTGTGAGCAGGGATACACCGGGGAGAACTGCGAGATAGGTGAGTGCCAGAAACGGGTCTTCACCTAGACTTACCTGACTCAGTCATAGGGTCTACCCCAGGGCTACTCCCAGGAGGACTCAGGGGTCACAGAATGCTCACTTCAGATGCTTCCCACTCCCCCACTTCTTGGATCTGGTGAATTAATTAACCCCTGTTGGCTGAGCCAGCACCCAATAGTTGAGCTGTCCTGGGGATTGAGACCAGTGTGCCCCCTTACTTATTACCGGGACAGTGTGGGAGGAGCCAAAGGCTGAAGTTCAGAATGCTCCCAGCCTAGGACCCTGGGTGGGCAGGGGTACAGGTACCCAGACCCTGTTGATGCTAGCTCTAAAGCCCAACATGGGAAATATGGAAAATTGTGAAACTATAACAATAAATACAAATAGTATAATTTCTCGATCTCTGTGCATCATCCCATTGATCTTGCAAACCTTCACAAAGGCTACAGTCATGTGTTGCTTAATGGCATTTTGGCCAGTAACAGAATGCACATATTACAGTGGTCCCAGTGGGCTCTTCCAAGGAGCTTAGGTATGTGATAATTTACACCCTCTAGTTTTTTGTACATTGACTTTCACACAATGATGAAATTGACTAATGATCCATTTCTCAGAAGGTATCCTTGTCATTAACTGATACATGGCTGTACTAATTAAAAAATATAACAATAAACATAAGCTATACAATTTCTAGAGCTCTTCCACTGTATTCCATTCACAACCACCCTGGAAAAGGTGCTGTTGTTATTAGGATTTTGCAAAAAACAAACTGAGTCTCAAAGAGGGGAAGTGACTGACCAGGATTATCCACGCCTCAGATGCCATCTATAGCGGGTTTGGCAGTAAGGAAGTTCACTGGACTCTGCTAGTGCTTGCAGTGCTTTGGAACCCAGCAGAGTTCCAGATTTCCCTGAGTCCCATATTAAAAAAAAAAAACAAAAAAAAACCTGCTTTGACATTCTACAAGTCTCTTGCCAGAACCTCAGTGTCTGTTCTGGAACTGGATGCTGGCCCTCAGCTGCTTGCGACATGACTCATTCATGTTAGCTCATGTTACTTGTGGGCGGTTCCCCTCCTGATCCTCACACTCACTGGGCCATCTGTCCAGACCATCCCTGCACTCTAGTCCTGGAGAGATCACAGGGTCATGACCTGTCTGCTGCCTGGTTCTCGGCAGGGGTGGGGAGCTCAGCTGACCTGTACCTCCTCTTCTTCCCCACAGACATTGATGACTGTGTCTCCAGCCCCTGCGAGAATGGGGGCACCTGCATTGATGAGATCAATGCTTTCATCTGCCTTTGCCTCCCCAGCTACGGGGGCAGCCTCTGTGAGAAGGGTGAGTGCCTGATGACAACAGTACCAGAGTGAGGCTGGGTGCTGGCTATAGGTCTCCCAATTGATCCAGGTCTTTCTTTGCCTCTGCTTCAGGGTAAATCCAACAGGAGGGAAGTGGGTTTTTCTGTTTTTTTTGAGATAAAATTCACATAACAGAATTAATCACTTTTTTTTTTAAGATTTATTTATTTATTCGTACAGAACTGGGGTACAGGCCAGAGATGCGGAGGGTGAGAGGATTCACCAGAAACGAGTGGGGAGCAGAACAGGCAGATCGACGAAGTACACTGCTGAGGGGAGCAGCAGGCGGGTCAGGAGAGGTCTGCCATGCCATGTGGATCTCCTCCAGGGCAGGCGGGAATCGAACTCATGTGGAAGTGGCCTAAGCTTCTTTGTGCTGTGCTTTGACCCGCTGCGCCACCAGGAAGGGCCAGAATTAATCACTTTAATCAGTGGCATTTAATACATTTACAGTGGTGTGCAACCACCATCTTTATCTAGTTCTAGAATATTACATGACCCCAAAAGGAGACTCCACCCCCATCTCCCTCCTCCAACTCTTGACAACCATTAATCTGCATTCAGTTTATGGATTTGCTTATTTTGGCCTTTTTTTTTAAGATTTTATTTATTTATGCATACAAGAACTGGGATGTAGGGAGTAGAGGTGAGAGGACTCACCGGAGACAGAGTGGGAAGCAGAACAGGCAGATCTACTGAAATACACTGCTGAGGGGAGCAGCGGGCCAGACAGGAGAAGTCTGCTACACCTTGTGTGTCAGCTCCCTGGCTGGGGCTGAACTTGTCCTGGTGATAGCTTGATAGAGCTTCCAGGAAGGCCTCATTCTGGCCTTTTCATAAAAATGGATCACATATTGTATGGCCTTTTGTGTCTAGTCTCTCACTCAGCATCATGTTTTTAGTTCATCCACGTTGTGCATATGTCAGGACTTCACTCTGATATTCCCCTGGCCTCACTGAGTGATATTCCCCTGTGTGGCTGGACCACATTGTGTTTGTCCTTATCAGCTATTTTTTTGTTTAAAGATTTATTTATGCATATAAGATATGGGATATCGTCCAGAGATACGGGGTGGATGAGAGAATCCACCAGCAACAGAGTGGGGAGCACAACAGGCAGATCCACTGAAATACACTGCTGAGGGGAGCAACAAGTGGACAGTTGAGGTCTGCTGCATCATGTGGGTCAACTCTCTGGCCAGGGATCCAACTTATGCTGCAGTGGCTGCTGATGGCTTCATAGTGCTGAGATTTACTTAACTCCTTGAGCCACCAGGAGGCATTTGGGCTATTTACACTTGTGATTGTTGTGAACATACTATGAACATTCAGGAACAGTCTTTTATTTGAACACATTTTCCATTCCCCCTTCCTGTTCTTTAAGAAACATAACCAGGCATGGGAAGGCTGGGTTGTGTAGTCATTCTGTGTTTAACTTTGTGAAGACCTGCCACACAGTCTTTCATGCACCAGCTTACATTTCTACCTGCAGTGCAGCCGGGCCCACTTCTCCACACCCTCTCTGACACTTGCTATTGTCTGTCTTTTTGATTATGGCCATCCTGGTGAGTGTGTGGTAGTAGCTCATTGTGGGTTTTTTTTTTTTTAAGATTTAATTATTTATGCATTCAGAATTGGGGTACAGGCCAGAGGTGCAGGGGTGGTGAGAGGATTCACCAGAGACAGAGTGGGGAGCAGAACAGGCAGATTGACGAAGTACACTGGAGGGTGAGAAGAGGCCTGCTGTGCCATGTGGGTCACCTCCAGGGTGGGGATTGAACTCATGCTGCAGTGGTTGCAGCTTCATAGTGCTGTGCTTTAACCCGTTGTGCCACCCAGAAGGGCCCCACATTGTGGTTTTGATGGGCATCCCTAATGACACATGATGCTGGGCATCTTCTTGTGTGCTTGTTGACTGTTTGTCTTTCTGAGAAAATTGTCCATTGAGACCCTTTGTCAGCAGGGGGAATTTTAGAGCTTCCTGAGACCATGTCCTAAATTTCTAGGACTACACAAATCAGAGAAGAAAACATTGGTGCTGGGATAGGATGGGATGGATGTAATGTTCTTCCTGTTGGAACTCTTCCAAACAACAGGGAAGTGAATTTGGGAGGTGGAAATAAAGGTGGGGGGAGAACTTCAGGAGGAAGGGCCGGGCCAGGAGATGGGTGATCTGACCCTAGGTGGCCTGGCATTGAGTTCTCTGTCTGGTGGGCTGGCTGTGCTCAGACTGAAGCCAGCTCCCTGTACTCTCTTACCCTCCCAGACACAGAGGGGTGTGACCGCGGCTGGCACAAGTTCCAGGGCCACTGTTACCGCTACTTTGCCCATCGACGGGCATGGGAAGATGCTGAGAGAGACTGTCGCCGCCGAGCTGGCCACCTGACCAGCGTTCACTCACTGGAGGAACACAGCTTCATTAACAGTAGGGACTCGGGCTGGGCAGGGTGGCCATCCTTTCCCAGGGGCCGGAGACCCTGCCTTTATGCTGTGTTCACCATAGCCCTGACATGTCTGTTTGTTGATTCATACAATCACTTCAATCACTCACCAAATATTTACTGAGACTCCGTTGTGTGTCAGGCTTGGTTCCAGGCACTGCACATGGCAGTGAGTGAGTTCTTGGCCGCGAGGTCCAGGGTGGGGACACAGTAAAGCAAGAAGCTGATAAAATAAGTCTATGCTATAGCTGGTCCTCAGTGTGCTGTTGGTAAATGAAACAGGGCCAGGGGATGGAGGATTCGGAAATTGCTGTGAGGGGCCAGGAGGAGAGGAGTGTGCATTAATTAAGCCCGGCATTTATGGATTTGTTCATTATCCCTCTGCCATTTATTCATCCACCCATTGATTAATGTCTCCTCCATCTTGTCCCTGTTAATTCTCTCATTTGTTCATTTCCCTGCTAGTTCTTTTTCCTCCTAATCACTCAAGATGTTGTGCCGCTTCCTCCAGCGTCAGTGACTGACCCCCACAGATAGTGACTGACTGTATCTCCTACCTCTGTCCAGCTGGAGCTCTGGCTCTCCTCCTTCTTTCTCCCTTTTTTCTGTAAAGATCTGATGTGTTGTTGTTTATTCCTTCCTCTGGTTGTTTAAGCCAAACATGTGGCAAGGCCAGCGGGCCTAATTCCAGCCCTTTCCATGACCTAACCCCACCCCACCCCCAGGTCACCGAGGGTAGCCAGGGTCCTGCTGAAGTTGGGGGGGGGAGTGAGGGAGAGGCACAGTCCCCTGTCCACACTTCAGGCTGGGGAAGGGCTCTGGGTCTCCTTCATCCATTGTCACCTTCACTCCACCTCCATCCCTTTCCCCCTTTAGTCCCCTCCAGGCTGAGGAAGGGGAGCATCCTTCTTTCCCACACCCCTACTCAACTCCAGCTTGCATCCAGGCTGAAGGAGAGGTGGGCGTAGCCCTTGCGATCCCTTTACCCCACAGGTTTCGGACGTGAGAATACATGGATCGGCCTGAATGACAGGATTGTGGAGAGGGACTTCCAGTGGACAGACAACACTGCGCTGGTGAGTTGGTGGGAACCAGGACCTGGGTCCCTGAAGTCACACTGAGGAATCTGGGAGAGCCGTATTACCCTGCCCATCACCCCAGACTCACTTTACTTTCTTGTGCAGAGCAACTACAGGTGAGGTACTGTCTAATGTTCCCTGGGAGTTTGCAAAGGAGATTCTGTCCAGACTAGATCTCCACCCCACCCCTGACTTCCCAGCCCAGCAAAGGTTTGTCCATCCAGTAACTGAGGCTACACCCTAGGACGGAGAGCCCAGTGCCACTCTCTTCCCTTCCTCGGGTCCTCCAGCTGTGGTCACCCAGATATTCCCATTTCCTTACCTGTAGGTCCAGCCTCCAGAACAGCTCACTGGGACCTCTGCAGTAGCTGTCCACTGGCTACTCCTGTCACACCAGCTAACAGTTTCTTTTTAGATGGAGATGATATTCATATACTGTACAATTAATCATTTTTAAAGTAGTATCTAATACCTTCACATTGTTGTACAACTACCACCTCCATGTAGTTCCAGAACATTTCTTTAATCCCCTGTGCTGTACACGGGGACCTTGTAAAAATCGTAGATCAGATCAGGATCCTCCCTGACTGAAATCCTCTCAGACTGCTCGTTGTTCTCAAGATAAAAATCCACCTCCTCCAGCTGTGGGAAACAGTCTGGCAGTCCCTTGGAAAGTTAAACATAGACTTACCATATGATCCAAAATTCCTATCCTAGTTAGATCTGCAAAAGAGTGAAAACAGGAATCAGCGATATTTTTACACACATGTTCAAAGCAGCACTATTCACAGCAGTCAAAAAATGGAGACAAATTGGGGACTTCCTTTTGGCACAAGGGGTTAAGTCTCAGCACTATAAAGCTCTCTGCAACCCCTACAGCACAAGTTCATTCCCCAGCCAGGGAGGTGACCCACATGGTGCAGCAGACCTCTCCTGTCTCACCTGCTGCTCCCCTCAGATTTCCCCTCAGTGGATCTGCCTGTTCTGCTCCCCGCTCTGTCTCTGGTGAATCCTCTTACTCCTGCCTGCCGCACCTCTGGCCTACACCCCAGCTCTTGTATGCATCAATAAATAAATCTTTAAAAAAAAAAAAAAAGTGGAGGCCCTCCCTGGTGGCGCAGTGTGTTAAAGCACAGCACTGAGAAGCTAAAGCCACTTCAGCATGAGTTCAAAACCCACCTTGGAGGTGACTCACAAGGCACAGCAGAACTCTCCTGACCTGCCTGCTGCTCCCCTCAGCAGTGTACTTTGGCAATCGGCCTGTTCTGCTCCCCACTCTGTCTCTGGTGAATCCTCTTACCGCCCCTGCACCTCTGGCCTGTACCCCAGCTCTGTATACATAAATAAATCTTTAGGGAAAAAAAAGTGGAGACAACAAATGTCCATTAACTAGTGAATGGATGAACAAACTGACCCATCAATCACTCAGTCATCAAAAGGAGAGAAGCTCTGACACAAGCTACAACTGTGTCAGCAAGTTCAGCATCACTGATGCTAAATGAGAGACCAGACATAAAAGGCCACAATGTGTGACCCATTTATTTGAATGTCCAGAACAGGCAAATCCACAGACAGAAAGCAGAGGAGTGATTGGCATGGTCTGGGGGGGGGGGGCGGGGGGAAGTGATTGTTGATGGGTGTAGAGTTTCTTTTTGGTGTGATGACAAAAGTCTGAATACATGGTGGTTATGGTTCCTCAACACTGTGAATCTAGTCAGTGCCATTGAACTGGACACTTAAAATGGTTAAAATGGTAAATTTTATGTTATATATATTTTACCACAATTTAAAAAAATTCACCTCTTCTCCTTCACCACAAAAACTGTCTCTGCCCATTCTCTGACCAACTCTCCAACTCTCCATGCACCTCCAGCTCCTCTGACCTCCCTACTGCCTCTCAAACATGACAAGCTGTCCTGCCTCTGAGCCTTTGCTCAGCATTGATGATTCCTTCTGCTTCCCATTCTGTTCACTGCCTGCATCATCCCTCTCCCTGAATCTCCAAATCTCCTGTTGCCACCTCAGAGAAGTCTCCTGGGCTTCCTTCCAGCTGAGGTCACCCTTTGACTATCTAACAGAACCCATGTGGAAAACAGATGGGCAGAGGGCAAGACTGGAGGTCGGAGCACCGGGAAGGAAGTGGGTACTGCAGCCCGGTGGCCAGAGGAGGGTGGCTGGACCTCTGGGACAGAGAGAACAACACTCACTATATATATGGGAGGATTGAGTTCCTAGGAGTTTGAGTGGTCTGGCCAAGGGAGTCCCACATTTGACAGAAATCAAGGCCAGGATGCAGTCCCCTGAGCACCTCTCCCTACTGTTTCTGCAGCAATATGAGAACTGGCGGGAGAACCAGCCTGACAATTTCTTTGCCGGTGGTGAGGACTGTGTGGTGATGGTGGCTCATGAGAGTGGGCGTTGGAACGATGTTCCCTGCAATTACAACCTCCCTTACGTCTGCAAGAAAGGCACAGGTATGCTGCTGCTACATGCCCCTTCACTTACTGATTTTTTTGTTTTCCGTAAGTTCTTAAGTGTAAGAATAAGCCCAGCCTAATTTTCACTCTCCAGCATGATGGGAGCATTCCCGTTTCCCCTTACAATTGCAAACTCTGATAAAAAAAAAAATAGTATCTGCATGTAGTGTGCATGTCTAACAGGATGACAATGACCAGCGCCTGATATGTTATAAGCTATTTGTGTTTATTTTCCTGTGACCTCCTAGTTCATCTTTGCCTGATGTTCTAGCAGCTTGTTTTTATTGATTTGTAAGAGCTTTTTACATATTAAGGAAACATTTGTTCATTCTTGCCTCCTTTTCTTTGCCAGTCTTCATGTCCTTTCTTCCTTTCATATGCTGTCATCTTGCCCCCAGCTCCTTAATTCCTGCCGTACTTACATCAGAATTAGGGAGTGGGGCATGTCCAGGAGGTGCATCGCCCTAAGGGACACCTGGTTTAGGTAGAAGATGCTGAGAGAGACACAGTCAATTGGAGCCCTGTTGGGTTACAGTGGGGGCAAAGGGATGGACCTGTGGAGGGACAGGTGCATTGTCCCTAACAAGGCAAGAAACCTGTTCAGCTCCAGCCTTGGTCACTTCCCTAACTGGAAGTTCCTCCATCCCCAGTGCTCTGTGGTCCCCCTCCAGCAGTGGAGAACGCCTCACCTGTGGGTGCCCGCAAGGCCAAGTACAATGTCCATGCCACAGTTCGCTACCAGTGCAATGAGGGGTTTGCTCAGCACCACGTGGCCATCATTAGGTGCCGGAGCAACGGCAAGTGGGACCATCCCCAAATCGTTTGCACCAAACGTAAGTGACTGCCTAGCCACCCCAACACAGGTTCTTAGCTATGTTGTTACTACACACACTGGTCTGTAGCATTGTACATAAGGGGAAACTTGCTAGCCTACTTGGTGTTTCCTCCATTTCCCTCCGTTGAGGGGCCACATGCTTCTCACCACTTCATGCCCAGTCCCTCTCCTCCCTCATTTCTCTGCAGCCAGACGGTCTCATCGGATGCGGCGGCACCATCACCACCACCATCACCATCAGCATCGCCACCACAAATCTCGCAAGGAGCGCAGAAAACACAAGAAACACCCAGTGGAGGACTGGGAGAAGGAAGAAGGGAATTTCTGTTGAAGAGCCAGGGAAAGCAAGCACAACCCCCTTCCCATACCTCCTCTGGCGCCTTCACCTGGGGAGACAGAGCCCAGAGAGAAGCAAGAAGTTCTGGAAGTCCCTGAGCCCCGAACTACATCCCCCATTCATAATCCTTTGTAAAAAACTCCTCTTCCCTTTCTTACATACACAATTCCTCTTGGCAGGAGTAGCCTTGTGTCTGAAGTCAGTTTTAGGTTGAGCTCTGGGAGCATCTCCCAGCAGAGGGAAGCACAATCAACAAAGATCTTCTTTGTACCAGTTTAGTTACTTGTTGGCAAGGCTGATTGCCAGATGTTGAAATAAGGCTTTGATGAAGGTGCAAGAGTATATATTTTTTGACTTGCATGAAAGAATTGCTTTTCACACCTGACAACTTGGGCTTAGTAAACCACTGGATGTCCTAAATGCAGGCTGAAGCCTAGTTTTAAGGTCACTGACTTTGGGAGTAGCAAACTATTTGGAAGCACCCTGCTTGAACTCGGCTACTGCTCTTTCTTTACTTCACTGCTGTTCCTGGACTTCAGCCCAAGGCTGTTCTTTAGTCTTGGTGGGTAAACATAGCGTGAAAATCCTATGTATAAATTTTAGTGATTTTTTTTTTTTTTTTTTAGGAAAACCTCCCTCTGTTCCCTCAGAGTTAGGGGTCAGGATAGTCAGAGAACTATGTGGGCAGAGGATGGAAGGGTCTGCTTTCCCTCTTAGGTGTTGTCCAATGATGACATTTGGTGGTTCTGACAATGACATAGATGAAAGGATGTCTGGGGCTTGGCAAGCCCAGACCTCTTCTCCGTCCATCTCTCAGGGAGACAAAGAACCTCCTTCCTGGACCAATGAGGTGCCAAGTTTTCTAGCTCATTGTCCATACTCACTCTTCAAGCAGACATTGGTAGTGCCCCTGTCCTGGGCCCCGCCCTGATGCCTCCATCCCTGTCTTCACAAATTGTCTGGAAGATTAGAAACACTTAACACTTGTAGTGACATCCGCCTGCAGTCATGTTATAGAGAGATATGCAGTATTAAAACTAAAACACACACACATTTTTCTCTCAGTTTTTTCTTTTTTGAGTAGGAAAGAATTCACCCTGCCTGCCTCCCTCAAATCTTCATCCTGTAAAAGACCTCCCAAATGAGTGGAAGAAAGGAAGAAAGTTTCAGGTAGAGGGAGAACAAAGGCAAAAGTCCTCATCTTCAGCAGGAAAGGCCACAGCTTCACCTCCAAGTCCTTTGCCCACTTTCAAACCCTCAAATCTGAGTTAATGATGTGGAGAAATGTTAAAACAGTAGAGAATGAACCTCTGTAGAAAAGAAAAATAAGCAACTACATGGTCTTTCCAGGGGTTTAGTAGAGAAAAGGAATGTACACTGAACCTGTATCCCTCCTGGGACGTAATCATCACAGTTGACAACGCTGGAATTGGTATTATGGCAAGACCTCATCTCCTTGAAATGCCTCAGCATCCCAGTGATTTGGGAACTATAATTGCCCATTTTACATATAATGTAAATGAGGGTTAGAGAAGGGTAAAGCCCTGGCTTGAAGTGATAGGCAAGACAGGAATAAGGATTTGATCCTGACTGCAAACACTACTCTCTTACTTTGGAAAAAGGGATGGAAACATAATCACACTCTTTCTCACACACAGGCAGATTTAAGAAAAGGCTGAGAAGTGCAGAGTAGGCTAGAATATTTGACTGTGGTCTTCAGTCTTACCTGCTATTGCCATAACCTTAATGGGTGCTGAGAGAGCCCAGGGTTATAAGTTTGCCTCTTGCTTTGATCATTTTTGTTTGGGTTTAAAAAATATAATAATAGCGACACATCTTCAGTTATCCATTCATAGAAGAATTTTCCTTTGGGGGGCATCACAAAAGAATTTTCCTTTTGGGGGATACTGGGGATGCAGCTTTTGGGGGGTGTTGGTTTATACCCCCTACTCTTGGCTCCCTCAGCCCCTTGCCCTGCCTCCACCCAAGCCCCACAATGGGAGGGGGCTCTGGTCTTTTTTAAAGTGGGTGGTTTGTCTTTTGGTCTTTCCCTTAGGGGTGTGTGTATGTTTGTGTGCCACATGTGTGGTACACGTGTGAGTGTGTGTGTGTGTGTATGTGTGTGTGAATAGCTTTGGTTCTGCTGGTTTTGCTGTAAGCTGCAGTGTTCTGTGGGTCTGTGGTATCTGACACTGTGGACATTAATGTACTTCTTGGACATTTTAATAAAATTTTTTAACAGCTCAATTTGCCTGTCACCTCCTGACACTGTCCTTCATTCACTCAGCCAGTTTTTACTGAGCAGCTTTTATGAGTCATGTATTTGGCTGGGTGCTGGGAAGATAGTGGTGATTAGGACAGGCAGAACCCTAGGATGTAGTTAGGGAAGGTTTTCTAGAAGCAGTGGATGGAATCTAAAGGAATAACTAGACAAGGAGGGAGGGGAAGAAAGGAAGAGAGTTTCAAGGGAGAGATAAGAGTAAAGGCAAAAGTCTTCTTGCAGAAGGGAACAGGGCTCATTTGAGACACAGCAGGGAGTACATAGTGGCTGGAGCTGAGTGACACAGGCCCAGTGAGGGAAATGGGAGTCAGGGAGGGGGAGGAGGGACCACTCAGGGCCATTTTGGGCTGTAGTAAGGAGTTGGGGCTTTATTCTAAAAACAGTTGTGGTTACACACACCATAAGCAAGGTAAGAAGGAAAATGTCAAACTTGAAAATAATTTTCAAGTCAGAGATAAAACACTGTGTTAAAATCTCCTGCAAACCTATAGGAACAAAGATATAACTTTATAACCAAACATGAAAAGGCTATGAAGAATCAACATAGGAGATACAAATAGCTGTTAAATTACAACATGCGCAACACAATAATTCACATTTTCCAAGAACAGCAGACAAAAGGGAGGGCATATAAGTCAAAGAGAATAAACAAGTCTAATGAGAGAGGGGTCTTACATAGATCAGTGAAGACAGTATATCTGAACTAAGAATGATTTATGACTTACTAAATCACCTGCACCTAAGATCAAAGTGGAAGGTGTTTAGCTCCACACATACTAAGAAAATTTCAAGACAACCACAATAAGATAGCCTTTTTACCTATCATGTTGGCTGTGATAAAATGTGACACACATTAAGTAGAGATGAAGGGCACTATCAAAATGACAGCTTGATCAAACCACTCCTGACATGGATATTTATTACTAACAGTAACATACAGGAAACAACCTAAATGCCCACCATTTGGAGCTGGCTACAAAAATTGCAGTGTATCCAAACAATGAGTATTCTGCCAACCTTCAAAAAGATGGGGAGGGAGGTTATCTACAATGAAAATTATCTTAAAGATAATTTATTAAGTAAAAGAGGGGCTAATTTTAAAGGTATACGTGACATGCAAATGTTTACAGCAGCATTATTCACAATGGCCAAAAAGTGGAAACAACCCAAAGTCACTCATGCAGAATGAGTTAAATGGTATGTACAAACCGTGGAATATTATATAAATGGAATGAAGTCCTGATACATGCTACAACATGGATGAACCTCAAAACCATTATGCTGGGCCTCCCTGGTGGTGCAAGGGGTTAAGTCTTAACACTAGGAAGCTATCAGTAACCACTGCAGCATGAGTTCCATCCCCGGCCAGGGAGGTGAACCACACGGCACAGCCGACATCTCTTGTCTTGCCTGATGCTCCCCTCAGCAGTGTATTTCTGCCTGTTCTGCTCCCCACTCTGTCTCTGGTGAATCCTCTCACCCACATACCCACACACCTCTGGTCTCTACTACAGCTCTTGGATGCATAAATAAATCTTAAAAAAAAAAAAAAAAACAACAAAAAGCCACTATGCTAAGCGAAAGAAGTCAGACATAAAAAGACACATAATGTAGGATTCCATATGAAATATCAAGAATAGGGGCCTCCCTGGCTGCACAAGGGGTTAAACTCTCAGCACTATGAAGCAGTCCAGTCTGGTCCAAAGCCACTGCAGGACCAGTTCCACCCCCAGCTGGGGAGCTGACCCACATGGCACAGCAGACCTCCTGTCTCACCTGCTGCTCCCCTCAGCAGTGTATTTCAGTAGATCCACCTGTCATGCTCCCAATTTTTTTCTGGTGAATCCTTTTACCCCCACACCTCTGGCCTACACCTCAGCTCTTGTATACATAAAAAAATAAATCTTTAAAAAAATACCAAGAATAAGCAAATCCATAGAGGCAGAAAGTAGATTAGCAGTTGCAGGGAACTGGGGGTTGGGAACACAGATGTAGAGTGACTGCTAATGGGAACAGGGTTTACTTTTGGGACATGAAAATGACTTAAACCTAGATAGAAGTGGTGGTTGCACAACACTGAGTGTATAAAACGCCACTCAATTTTTCACTTTAAAATTATTAAAATGGTCAATTTTATCATAAAAAAGTATACATTACACACCATCATTTGTGTAAAAATGGGGGAAAAAAATATAAGCATGTTTATTAACACAAAACATCTCCAGAGACATGTAAGAAAATTTCAGTGTCTCTGGGAAATGAGCTAGGTGGTGGGGCACAGGAGAGACATTTTCCTATCTGGCTTCAGGAAGGATTCCATCCAGGTTGCCAGCCCTCCGCTCTCCCCCAGTCAGCACCTGAAGCCTCCATTTCATCAGTGACCCAAGAAGGAAGTTTCCCTGTTCAGTAGGTCCAGGAAATCCCAGGGAGTGACTCTGGTCAGTCCAGGTCCATGTCCACCTTGCACCAATCAGGGCTGCTTGGGAAGACGGACCACAGCTCTCACTGGCCATGCTGGAAGTGGGTGAAGTTGGGAAAGTTGCTAACCTGATGAGAAACCAAGATGCTGCAATCCATGGAAGGGAAAAAGGATGCCAGTAGGGAAGAAGGTGGCAAGCAAAGAAAACCCATGCACTCCTTTTGGGAAACATGCCCATTTCCATTCCCCCATGGAGGAAGATGGCCCAGCCCAGCCCAGGGTAATCTAATCACTGGGCTGGACACTAACCTCAGATGAATGGTTGCACCCCCAGGAGCCCACCACATCCAATACTGAAGACAACCAGTTAAGTTCTATTTCTATTATCAAATCAAATCTTATACTTGTTTCTCTTCTCCTTTTCTTATATTCTAGATATGTTCAAGGGTCCTTACCCCCACTTCTCTAACCCTCCCCCCATCCTGGGAAAAACTCACAATGTCTCTGCCTTTTAGGTGCAGAACTCCCCATGCAATTTTACATACTTCAGGCTGGATATTGAGCAACAGCCACTAGATTGGTCAGAGACCTAGACAGAGCTGAGAAAGTCTGGGTCCATAAAGATGGCTCAAGGGAGGGAGAAGAAGACAGGATGAGTGAAGGGAGAAGAGAGATTGGTATAGCTGAGAAATGAGGGGAGTAGTTTCCCAACTGAATCATTAGACATACCCAGCTTGGAAATTTTGCCCACCAAAGTGCTTTAAGAAGTATATACCCACTGATTGCCTCACTTACTCATTCATTAAAAAAGAAAAAAATAACCAGTCAAAAGATTCACTGAGTCCCTGCTATAGGCTTTGCAATTACTGGGACCTCAGGACAGTCCTGCTATAAAAGAAACAGGCTCAGAAGGTTTGTCACTTGGCCAGAGCCAAGATTTGAACACCAGCCCAGTTAGTTCCAAACTCAGAGCTAGGTCTCCCAAAGGTGGATGTGATAACAGGAGAACCCAGAAAGGAACCCAGTGTAGCTTCAAGCAAATGACAGGAACTGGGTTTTCCCAGGGTGGCATTGTCCATGGACTGTTTCCCCCCAGCTGGCTCTCACACAGGAGTTTGACTGGGTCCTGACTTAGTAGGAATCACCTCTTAAGACCCGGCACGCATAGTGGATTTCAAAGTTCAAGGATATTCCATCTCTCCTGGACCTCAAAGGAGAAATGTGGGCAGGAGGCAGTGAAGGAAAGAGGAGCTTGGCATGATGGGGATGGGATCGCAGAGGCAAAAGGAGAGAGGCTAGTGCTTGCAGAGCTGAAAGGGCAGTACTTAAGATGGTCACCTGTAGAGTTGCAATGAAAACACCTGGTGTTGTTAGTGCTCATGCACGGCTGTTGTCTGAGTTAGCGTGCAGAAGGAGTTAGCAGCAGCTCAAGTCCAGTCTTGTCTGGGGACACTGCCAGTAGCTGGGCTACCTGACAGGACAGTTCAGCCCCAAGGTGAGAAGTTCCTGAGAGTTGAGAGGTCCAGTGTTATGGGTAGGGGAGGGACTGACAGTCTATTGGAGACAGCTTGGAGGGAAAGGGCCTGCCCACAAAGGAAAGCTTAGGGGAACAGGTTTTCTGTTACCTGACACCAGAGTTTGGACTCTGGCAGCAGAGTTGGGGATGAGGAGTACAAACTGCTGAGTGAGCTTAGGAGGTGGCAGGAGCTGGGTGGGTCTAAGGAAAGGGGCAGCCTGTTTCCATGGTGAGAGGGGGATAACTGAATGTTGGGTGACTCCTGAAATAGTTGAGGGCCTTGAGATGTTCTCCATGGCTGTTGGTCAGGGTGGGAATGAGTAGAGTTGCCGGTCTTTGGGAAATTGTGGTAGCCATGGTTACAGCTGGAGGAAGGAGTACTATTTCCATGGGTGTCACTGATAAGGGAAGGGCTGAGTGATGCTAGGTTACAGGTAGAAACTGGCCTGGCCATCTTGGTGACTGTGGAAGTGGAGAGGCTTGTCTTCATAGTGAATGACATGGCTCTATGGGTCCTGGGGCGAGTGGGGAGGGGAGAGGGATTGTCTCTTTGGTGACAGCCAGAAAAGGGGCTGTCAGGTGAGGATTTGCTTCCTCTAGAGAGATACCTGAGGGATGGGGCATGGCCACTCAGCCAGCCAGCCAGCAGGGCTTGTTAATCTGTCTCAGCAGGAACAGACAAGGGTGGTCTCCCCAGACAAGCACTTCTCCAAGGGTGGTGCTGTTCTCAAAGGTAACTCAGACACAAGGTCTATTACTCTGGAAACTTCAGAGAGCCTCATGGGGAAGGGGGAAAGAATGAGAGTACCAATCTCCAGGTCACTGCAGGGGAGAGGTCAGGAGCCCACAGTCTCCCTGTAACCACAAGGGCTGCCTGACAAACTCCATAGTTTCTGGTTTCTCTACAGGTGACGGAGAGGTGGTTTCAGTGTCAAAGTGACTGTAAACCAGTTTCCAGAAAAATGCAGAAGGTGTGTGCCCAGTCTCCAGGAAATCCCGGGGGTCCAGCCTCCAGGTGACTGGGGTAGAGGGTTATGTGTGGTTGGTTTCCACTGTTTCCAGGTGACCTCGGTAGTTGGCCTCCAGGGATCTTCAAGGGCCTGGCCGGCCTCCAGAAAGAAGTTGTGGGAAGAGGGAATATCCATTGTCCAGGAAAGATGGGGCTTAGTCCGTTTCCAGGTGACTTCAGTTTCTTGTCTCCCAGGACCCGCCAGTTTTAAGGATCCTCTGGGGCATGGTCTGTGTTCTAGAACCGCAGGTGGCCAGGTCAGCCGGCAGGGGGCATGGTCAACCTGCAGGGGCATGGCCTGTTTCTGGGGACCATAGGGTACTAGGCCAGCCGCCAAGCGCCCCAGCTGTCCACACGACAGGCTTAGACTCGCAAAGGAGTCCAGGCAGCAGGGTCGCGCGCGCCTCCGGCCCAGCCGCCGCCTCCGGCCCAGCCCCAGCCCCAGCCTCCAGGTGCGGGGTCCGGCGCGCCAGGTGCGCGGTAGCAGTACACGCCAAAGAGGCGGCGTGTGGCATCTGGAAAGCCGAGGCTGCGTACACCTGGCCGGCGGCCACCACAACGCGCGCGCGGATTCACGATGGGGTAGCGCGCGCTCCCGTCTGCGAGCCAGCCGGCAGTGCAGCGGTCCAGCAGCTGCAGCTTCCATGCGGCGAACAGCTGTCCCACCTTGGCCACGGCTGCACCGCGCGCAGCGCATGCGCGCGCGGCTCCCGCGAAGGGCACCGGCCGAAGTGGCTTCAGGAAGAACACGCGTCCTATGGGGTTGGGATGCGGTTAGGGCTATTCCCGTAACCCCATCTCCCTGGGATTCTGGACCCACACAGGCATGCAGCCCAGACCTCAGTTTCAGGATTCAGAAACGCCCTCCCCTGCAGCCCTGAACCCCAGCCTCAGCGGGAGCAGTGAGGGTGCCAGGAGATTCTGGACTGCTTCGCTGCGCTGTGGCATTCCTGGGGCTGGGATTTCTTGTTTGGGACCACCCGCAGCCGAGGGAGAGGTAGAGTGAGGGCTATTAAACTAGAGTAGAGAGAATAAGCGAGATGGGAACAGGGGAACTGACCTCTGGAGGGGCTACTCCTACGCACCTGCGAGATTGGAAGTGAAGCAAAAGGCATCATAGCGCTCCTCTGCGTTGTGACGGTAGCCATAATTGCGCACGCCCCCAGAGGCACCGCCGTTGACCCCCGTGTTCCCTGTCAATCCCAAGCCGCCGCAGGGCTCACGGGGCTGGCTCACTGGGTACTGCACGGACCCGTCTCGCAGCCAGCCCGCGTTGCACCAATCCAGGCCATCTCGCCAGGCCGCGTGTAGCTGTTCAGCTGATGCTAGAATGCCATCCTGTTCAGCACATGCACGCTGCGCCTCTGTGAAGGTCAGCTTGTAGCGACCTCCACGGGGGTGGTAAGGGAAGACCACACCTGGGAAAACACGCAGTGGGGTCAGTTTGCACACCCCCTCCCCCCAGCCAGCTTCCAGTCACCTGACATCTGCGGTGGCGTGTGACTCTTTAACCTAGTCCTTCCTGTTCATTCTGCACTCTGGCCTCAGACCTAACCACAGCCTTCCCAGGCTCTGATGGCTTCCTTGGCCTTAAATAGGGGTTCTTGACACTCCCCCTTAACTAATCATATCTCCTCTTGCCTCCACTGGAGTCCTTTGCTCATGTTCTTTCTATCCTTTTCCACCTGTTGAACTCCTATTCACCTTCAAAACCCAGCTCCCACAACCCTCTTCTATCCAGTCCTATATACTTCTGACATCCTGCATCATTGGAACATTCCCTCTGGTCAAGCCCTGGGTCTACAGAACTGGCAATGTGTGGGAGCCCCAGAGAAGTTAACCCTGACAGGGATCCCTATGATTTCCAGCATTGGTGAGGACAGTTCATTTTGGTTTCCTCTTCCACTGTCAGTTTTTATAATTTGTACTAACACGAGAGTTCTGTGTGTCTGTTTGAGCGGTAGACATTGGGGTGAGTTGCATTTCAGATACTGAACAGGGTGAGAAGAAATGACCTGAAGCTATTCACTAGCATGTGCCCTGGGCAAGGCTCTGACCTTTCCAAGCCAGCTACCCATTAGTTTGTAATAGCACCTCGCTTGGGTTTGTTTTTGTTTTGAAAATTAAAGACTAGAGAGAACTCTTCGACCAAGATCCTGGCACACAGAAAACACTCAAAAAAGGGGAGCTGTTACCTTCACTAGCATTATTTGCTATTGTTGGTATATTTATTAGGGGAGAGCTTTGAAAACTATCCTCAGCATCTTCTAAGGTGAACTAAAGAGGACAAACCAGGTGGAGGAAATTCTTCAGAAAAAAACCATACATCTCAGCTTCATAGTCAGCCAATGAGTGCAAGCCCTCTCTCAACCACAGTGATTGGTTGGTGGATGGGCACATGATTCAAAGCTGGGCCAATGAGGAACAATTCTGAGCGGTTAGCTGGTCCTGGAGGAAATCAATTGCTAAATTGGGAGAATGCAAGCCTGGGACTAGGGTTTTGATTCCATCAGAGCAAACCTGCCTGAGCAAAGCTCACCTGGGAAGCAGAGCTAAGGGGAGGAGGCTCCTGCCACAGTGTGAGTATCTGATGCTATCCTGGGGTTTCCCAAAGAACTTGCTATTGGCATTTTGGCCTGGCTTGCTAACTATTCTGTGCTGACTGCAGCATCCCTGCCTCAACTCACTGGATGACACTAGCAACCCTCTCTTCCAAGTGCCATGATCTCAAACTTCTCTAGATATTGCCAATGTCCCTGGGAATCACTCTGGATGAGACCCATTACCTTACCCTTCCAAGCCTCCAATTCCTTTAGGCTAGCTTGACTTAGTTTCTGTTATTGCCCTCCCTTTAGAAATACCTCCTCCTGCCCAAGGGTCAGTCACCTTCCAGGTCCAGCTTGACCATGCCTGTGTCATCTTCCAGTTCGTTGGTGACCTCACATTCATAGCGCCCATAGTCCTGCAGTGTGACATTTCGGAGAACCAAGGAGGCATCCCCAGGCCCATCACCCTGCAGTTCTGCTCGTCCGCGATAGCTGCCAAATGCCCGGTGTTGGGGTCCCAGAGCCACAAAGACGTCGACAAAGGCCAGCGGATCCACTACCTTGGTCCACTTGAGGCGGACACCATCATGGCCATGGGCAGCTGCCTCATAATGGTAGCGGCAGGGCAAAACGATGGTGCCACCCCTGTGGCTGACCACCTGCCCGGGAGCTGTCTGCACCACCACGGAGCCAGAATCGCCCTCTGCAGGCGACCAAGCAGAATTCAGTAAAAGTTCCTAGGGGCGGGACACCTGGCAAGGAAGACCCTGGGCAGGGGATATGGGAAAAAGTTTTGGGTGGGGGTACTGGAAGGGGGCTGGGGTGGGAGTATCTGGGGCAGTCCTCCCTTCCCCCTCCCTATACACAGGCTGTCACAGGTGGCCAGTCCTCTTGCAGGGCGTGCCCAGCACCCCCAGCCCGAACTCACCCAGCACGTGCACGACTTTCTTCCGGCCACGCTGTGCCTCTGCGGGGGCTGTGAGCAGCAGGACTCCCCAGGCGGCAGCCCAAAGCGCGCGGGGACCCAGGGCCGCCCGAGCACACACCTGGAAGCACGGGGTTCTCAGTTTAGTTTCCTGACCTTTGTCTTTCGGAGGACTAGCCTCCCGCCTTTCCTTCTTCGCAGAGAGGACTTCTTACACTCCCAGGCCCCCGCCCCGGCCAGGGTGGGATCACTCCCCCAAGAAAACTGACATTCTCCCACCATCTTTCACCTTAGCTCCTGCGCAAAGCCCACGCCCCTGGACTCACCGTGCCTGGTCCTGCGTGTGTAACTTGCCTGATCCTCTAACCCCAAAGCCAGGAGTTTTGGAGCCCCGCCTCCTTCTCTCACTCGCCTAGGCCGAGGATGGGAGGGAGGAGGGAGGAGCCGAGGCAGCGGCAAGCGGCAAGGTTATCGGTGCGCCAGGAGACTGCAGCAAACCGGCCGGGAAGGGGGTGGCGGGGGAGGGTGAGTAGGCTGCCCATGGGATGGTGGAGACAGAATGGCAGAGAACAGGAGATAGAGAAAGGCAGGGAGAGACGAAGAGAAAAAGACAGACATGAAGAAGAAAAGGGGAGAGACAGTAGAGAGAGCGAGCCAGCGAGAGAATGAGAAGGTAAAGCCATGGGATAGAAAAAGTCAGAGACTCAGAGGGAGTGAAAAGGGACAGGGGGTGACAGTGGTGAGGGTGGAGGTGCGAGGGAGTAAAGTATGAGACACTGATTGGGACAGAAAAGGAAAAGCAGAGAGTCCGAGGAAGAGGATACAAATGAGTGAGACTGGGAAGAAAAGAGTATAGACTGAGAGGAGGAGAGAGACTCCAAGAAACGCAGATTTATAAAGAGACGCAGAGAGACCCGCACTCACTGTTCCACTTACCATTCTGCCCGTGCGGCCCGCGGAGCGGCCCCTGCGTGCTCAGACTGTGCTCCTAGAACGCCGGGGAGGGACTGGACAGTTCCAGGCAGGCGCAATCCCGGCGTCTGCCTGCAAGGGGAGGAGGGAGTCCTACGGTGGTGGTTGGGGGGAGGGTTGTCGTTAAAGGGGACGCAGAGGCGCGTGCTCAGTGAAGTGACCGGACACTGAGGAGGCAGGACCACGCATCTCAGTTAGTGTGGGGTCTCTGCCCCTCGGGCTGACCACGGGCCAGCAGAGGAAATATCTTGAGCCCAGTTTAACCATCTATAAATCGGAGGAGGGGGCTTGAAGGAGTCTTCTATTATGGAAATTCTGCGTGGGTGAAGGAGGGGTGCCGGTGGACCTGAAAGGGGGACTGACTTGCAGGACTGTTTTTTGATCTGTCACTTGGTGAACACGGTGGGGTGGTCATGGTTTCTGGCACCCAAAGATGCTCACTCTGGGGGCAGGAGCCTCACAAAAATTATACTTTGCAAAAGGGGCCTGCAGCAACAGGTCCTCGTACAATTTGCTGTGGGATAATGGAAGAGAACCTTTGTCTCTCTGAACTTCACTTTCCTCTAGAAAATAGAATGCTGGTTCATTGGTAAAGATACATGTTTGGATATAAAATAGGTGACTAACTGGGTTGATAGAGACAGGGAACAGGGGTGTCTGATCAAGCCTCTGCTCCCTTCTGGCCCTGAGTCACTAGAACCTTGCCCTTCATCCAAGTTCAAAAACAGAACTAGGAAACAATGAACTCTCCCCTCAACAACCTTGGTTGTCTCCCCAGCCTCCAAATTACGAGCCAACCAGAGAGCAGAAACAGGACTGTGAGTTCTAACAGTTGAATGGGCCAGGGCCCAAGCTCAGCCATAGCCAAGAGGCATGACCTTGCTCTAGGACTGTCATTCCTATGTACAGGTTCCCATCTGGAATACTAGATGAAAGCACATGAGGTTAGCTGCTGGTGTGGTAATCTAATAGGTACTTAATAAATATGCCACACTAGTAGTTATTATAACTACTAGTGACTTCAACAGGTCTCTGGTCCCTCTGAACATCTGGAAGATAATTAAGCAGAGGCAGATTTCTGTTGTCTGGCACCGCCAGATCCTGATGGTCACACCAGTGTCACTGAGTATGCACTGCGCCTTTTGTAGGGCTTGAGAAAAATCCCTTACCCCTCACCCAGAAACACTCAGCAACATTTTGGGCACCAAGTTTTTATTAAAAGAATCCATGGGGGAATGATGGATAAAGCTTTGGAGGGAGTACAAGAGTCCGTGTGGGGTTTGGGCACAATGACAGTTGATCTGGCTGTGGCCCTCTCTGTCAGGACACCAGGCTCCTGGGTCTCCCATTCCATTTGCTGGCTTTAAACCACCATAACCAGGACCAACAACATCTAGACATATACCTCCTTCCTCTAAAAAATACATCCCATTCTTCCTGGAGTAGGACCAACAGGCCATGTAAACAGTGTTCTGGGGTTCCATGGCCCCCTCAGTGCTGCTTCTTGTGGTGGGCCGGAAGTCCCCGAGGTAGGCTGGTGAAGAACGCAGGCCACTGCAAGCAGCGGAAGGCCAGCAGGTGGGGCCCCAGTGCATACAGCAGGTTACACACAAAGAAGCAGGCCCAGGTGTCTTCTGGCACGCGGTAGGTGAAGGGTGTACGCAAATGCATGGAGGCACCCATATGTGAGAACTGTGCCTGGTGGCCACACAAGAGGATGAATGTCATAGGCAGGAACAAGTCCTGGCATTATTGACACCCTCCCACCCCCTGAAGCTTGTCAGATTGCAGTCAGGCAGAACCTAGAGGGTCCCATCTTCAACTAGCTGACTATGATGATCTGTCTCCCTCTCCAGTTCATCTGTCTGCCTCTAAATATACCTCCCCCAAATGTCTTGTCTATCTGTGTCCCTCTGTCTGTCAGTCTCTCTCCTGCAAAACCAGAACCATCTTCACTCATCTGCTGGCCCTGAATCTTATATCTCTGACTTGCATCAAGTTCCTTCTCTTAGTATCACCACCCTGAGCAGTGGCCCTTGACACAAATCCTATCAATTCTAACCTGAAGATATCTTTGCAGTCCCCACTGCCCTGTTCTGGTCACAGGTTTTATCAGTTCCCATCAGGAAGCCATACCTTCCACTTCTCAGATACCTACCATAGCTTACCACTGTTCTCAACACAAACCCCCACGCTCAGTGCTCTTCGCCCTCAGCAACCTCTATGGCCTTGCCTTTACTTATGTTATAGCCTCGCAAAATCACTGTCTCCTGTGCTTTTCTTTAAAGCTGTTCTCATCTGGAATGCCCTTCCTGCCCAGAGAACTTACAGCCTTAGGTCAAAGTCCAGCACCTAAGTCCTCACTTCTAGAAAAATTTCCTCCCATATGGAATCCCTTTCAGCCCCCATCACTTTCTCCTTGACTCTAGTTCTGACCCAATAGGGTTGGGGGTATCTGTGTCTGGTTCTTTTCTCCCCCAGACTAGGGAAAGTTGGAGTACTGAGCTGTACTTCTCGAGGCCCAGATCACCATGCCCAAGAGCAATTACTGAGTAGTCAGAAACTTTCTCCCCTTATCCACCTCCTCACCTGGCCTATGGCTCCAGCAAACACTAAGGCCCAGTCAGGCAGCCAGGAGCAGCCAGGGAAGATGAGGGCGTAGACAGCCAGGATGTAGAAGGGCAGCACATAGAACATGTAAACCAGCATCTGGGAGCACACAGTCAGTGGGGTGAGCAGCAATCCCAGCACGTCTCCTGATATCCTCAATGTGATGCTCCGGGGAGTATCTTACCTGCCTCAGATCCCATCCAAGACAGAGGCTCTCTGCACACCCCACCCCTGTGCACAGTGTGCCTCTATTTCCCTGAGTATTCCCTCCCCCACCGAAATTCATCACCTCCTACCACCTGGACACATGTAATTGAGTCCAGCTCAGTTGAGAAGTAGTATGTCCCCTTGGTCTGGTCAATAAGAACATTCTAGCTCCCTGACCAGAAGATCAACTAATTAAAATGGGCCAATCAGAGCTATTGTATGCATAAATAAATAAATCTTAAAAAACAAAAAGAGGGCCACTACTTGCCTGAGTGATCATCCAGGGAAGTTCTTCATGAACTTCCTACCTGAGAGTTAGGCTTAATCTCTGGGGAAATAGGGCTTATATTACCCTAGGCTGGGTAAGAAGGACAGAGGGCAGCCTGGAGTTACCCAAGGCTGTCACCTTCAGCCCACAAAGGGAAAACCTGGGAATGAAGCCCAAACAAAAAGAAAGCAGGCCCTAGAGACAGAATTATCCTTGAGCTGCTAGAGCCAGTCATCCCTGGAGGCCAGGTACCCCAGCTACTTCTCTTTAAGACACTAAATTCCACTTGTACTTCTGCTAGTTTCACTAATGTTTCTGGTACCTGTTTCAAAGAGGCCCCTTGGCCCCTTCTCCCCCCTCCTGCCTTCTCACCTGTATTTTTGGGTAGGTCACAGGATCCCGAAGGTACGGCTCATACTGGTAAATGTAGACAAAACAGGCATCTGTGGGACAGTCAAGCACCACCTGGGGACAAACCAACAACACATCTCAAATACCTCTCCCACTGGTCCCAGCTGAGGCCACACCTCTTGCTCTGGCTTCCCCTACAGATGGTTCTCTCCCTCTGTCTGGGAAGCCACAAATATTGATCTGGAGAGAATGCTGTAGGGAATGAGGATTTGTCATGGAACACTTAAGTCATGAAGAACTTCCCTGGATGATCACTCAGGCAAGTAGTGGCCCTCTTTTTGTTTTTTTAAGATTTATTTATTTATGCATACAACAGCTTGGGTGCAGACCAGAGGTTTGGGGGTGAGAAGATTCACCAGAGACAGAGTGGGGAGCAGAATGGATGGACTGACTGAAATACACTGCTGAGGGAGCAGCAGGCGAGAGAGAAGAGGTCTGCCACACCATGTGGGTCAACTCCCTGGCTGGGGATCGAACTCATGCTGCAGTGGCTACATGCAGATAGCTTCACGGTGCTGCAGCTAAACTTAACCAGGGAGACCCATTAGTAGTGGACTTTTCTGCAGTGGATACTAGAAAATATGTAGGAGAGGTGGGCCAGGATGTGAGAACTAGAGGAAGAGGAGGGGTAGGCTGACTAGCACAGACTTACCAGGCCCCGGAAGAGGGTGAAGAAGCCAGCTAGGGTGAGGTAAATGATGAGGGCCAGGTCAAGTGGGCGCTGCAGGAGTCCCTTTTTTTGCTCCACCCATACCTGCTCCATGGGAAAGACAGAATGAGAGCTCTGGTATCCAACGGGCACTCAGTAATGGCTCATCACTCCTTTCCTAGTGACCAAGAAGATCCTTCCAAGCAGATAATGTCTTTTTTTTTTTTTTTAAAGATTTATTTATTTGTGCATACAGAACTGGGGTACAGGCCAGAGGCTCAGGGATGGTGAGAGGCTTCACCAGAGACAGAGTGGGGAGCAGAACAGGCAGATCGACGAAGTACACTGCTGAGGGGAGCAGTGGGCGGGTCAGGAGAGGTCTGCCACACCATGTGGTCACCTCCGGGGCAGGCGGGGATCGAACTCATGCGGAAGCGGCTTTAGATTCTCAGTGCTGTGCTTTAACCCGCTGCGCCACCAGGGAGGGCCGCAGATAATGTCTTTGACCAGAAGCAGATCAAGTAGGTAACACCAAAACACTCACCATGTTGTGGGTGCAGCAGGTTGGCGCCTGGGGTTGGTTGAAGATCCTCATGCCAGCCCAGCAGGGAACCAGCACATAGGGGATGGTCAGAAAGAAGGCAGGCCTGATATCTGAGCTGTATTTGCCTGCCATGTGGCAAAGAGATAGCATCGCTCAGTAAAGGTCTCTACCAAAGCCCCTGGCTGAAAGTCTGATTCAAATGTCATCCTTGTTCAAGCTCTAATACCTGTGGCTCCCCAGACACTCTTTAGTCTGGCCTGCCTTGATTTACCTTTGGATACAGCTCCTACACTACAGCTATTTTGTGCTCTCCTTGGACACACTTGCATTGTTCTTCCTGACAGCCAGCCCC